TGGCTGCTCCAAGGACCAGACCTAGGACAGAGGGGAAACCAAACAGGCTGCACCAAACGAACACTTCACCTAAACCTCTTCTTGCAAGAACACGCCACAGCTGAGGAAGAGTTCCTGCATCACATACCAGAGGGGTCAGGAAACCTCTGAAAGCCCACAGCCATGAAGGACTGGCGCTGGATTCCGCTACAAAAGTAAGCCCCACACCTCTGTATGTTAATACAAACTGTAAAGCAAGTTTTCTTCTGTGATAAATATTCTAAGGTCCAGCAATTTTAAAAAAAACATGGTTTAGCTCACGTGGCAAGTTTGCATGTATTTGTTTCCTGCTGAAATAAGAAACCCTTACAATATTCTCTAGCTTTGGTTTAAATTGGTTTGCTAGGTATTTTATTCAAATTCTGTTTGTTTTCAAACTGAGATGCGTGTGATAGTTCTGTAAATATTAGCCTGCTGGGTTACAAAGCCTCAAGCCATGTGCTGTGAATAACATCAATTACTTCAGCAAAAGCACTGAGCAACGGCTTGCTGATACGTTCTCCCTCACACCACACGGGAAACGTACCTGGTCCGGGTGCTTACCTGGACGATCCCTCGCTTGTACATGGCACAGAGGATGAAGAGGGAGTCTGACGACCACTCCACATACTGGATCTGGTCCAGGCAGGTGTACAGCTGCAGGATCTGCAGGGTGCTCACGTCCCGCACGATGAGCCGGTACTGCACGCACGACGCCTGGGATAAACCAAGGGCAGCGCTGAGCTGCGGTGTGCCAGTACCACAGCTACAAACTGCAACTCTCACTGTACCCCAACGAACCGCTGCTGACCCTAAGAGCTTTAGTTACAGTTTGTTTTTTATTATTATTTTCTCCCCCCTTTAGAAAGGCCTGACTGACAGAGCTGCTGTAACACAAACCTCTGTAAGAATACTTAAGCCAGCAGGGGGGCCTCTCGTCACTTAACAAACCGAGCTCATTAACTCCTAGACCGCTCGCCAGGCACAATTAGCCCTAATTCCCCCCAAACAAACCCATTTTGGGGGGGGGTTCTCGTCAGCCCCGGGGGCCGGGCAAGGCGCCGCGCTGCCCGCCAGCCCCTCACACGGCCCCGCCACAGCCCAGCGGTCGGGGGGCGATGCCCCAGGAGGAGCCGGGCCGGTACCGGGAGCACCCACCAGGCACCGCCCGTCGGGGGAGATCCTGCCCAGCAGCCCCGACAGCCGGCACGGCTCCGAGAAGTTCATGGCGGGGCCCAGCCCGGCCCGGCCCTCGCCTGGGGCCGGCGGCGGGAGGAAGGGGCAGGCACCGCTCCGCCGGGCTGCCAATAAGGCCGGGGGGGAGCCACGATGTACGCCGGGAAATGTAGTCCCGGCGCTGAAAGTAATTATCATGCAAATGAGCCGGGTTAATGAGAGCCCGCGCCGGCTTCGCGCCGTGCCCCGCGGGCTGAGCTTCCCCCCGCGCTGCGCTTCCAGGCGGTTGGGCCCGGGCGGCTGATTGCAGGCCGGTGGGGAGAGGCCAGGAGGCCACCACCTGCAAATGAAGCACCTCAGCAGAGGCAGAGCTCGCAGGATCTTTAAAAATTAAAGATCTTAAGGGTGTTTTTTTGAGAGAGAAAAAGAGCCGAGAGTCGCTGCCGACGGGGGAGACAGGGCTACCCACACTGGGGTGCACCCCCCAGTAGGCCTGGGGCAGATGTGGACCTGGAAAGGGCCCAGGATCTGCTTTTCTGCCCCAAAATGTGCAAAGCATTGGCAACAACAGCCCCACAGGGCGATGTCCCCACACTGCTCAGCCTCTACTCTCTAAGTCCGTGTCAGTTTGGTGCCTGTACGCAGCCCCAGCGTGGTCACACAAAGGCAGCACTGCCCTGTCCCACATCCACCTCAGCTCCAGGCCTGTCCTCAGGACACTGTTATGGATCGTGCATTTAGGCCCTAAAAGCAGCTCCAGTGACTCCGATGTGTTCAGGGTCCCACAAACCCATCTGTCCTCTTGCCCTGCCCACGCATAAAGCCTGTGGGCTGGTCTGAAGCCAGGGGCAGCGATTTTGGGGTGCCTGTGGGCAGAGCTTCGGCTGTTCGGCTCTGAAGGGAGGCGGGTGAGTCAAGCACGCGACCGACTTTTTAAAGGTCATGAACACCTCTCAGTGGTTTTACCCCAGTGACTGAATGCAGTCGAAAGGGAAAGTCAGCAGGAGAACTTCAGCTTGTGAAAATGGGTGTCAGTAAACAGATAGTCGAGGAGTGCAGAAGGAAGAGTAATGCTGGCTGCCTCCTTGTGAGTGCTGTAAAATGCCTGCCAGCCCGCCGCTGGCCCTGAAGCTGTTCAGGCAAGGAAGGAGGCTCCCAGTCCTGCTGTCCTTTGGGGAACAGTCTCCCACTGCAGTCAGTGCCAGGCGATCAGCAGTGCCCTTGCATATCCTCAGCACGGCCTGCCCCAGGCCAGTAATGCCCCAGGAGGGATGAGCTGGGCATTTTGACCAATGCAAGCACCAAAACAGCTCCGGAGCAGCAATCTGGTGGGGTGCGGAGCTTCCAGTGGTGCTGTGGTGCACATGGGGTCTCCTTCCCAACCTGACAGCAGCCATCTCGGGCTCTGTAACTCTGCTGCTGGAGCCCCAGAGGGCTGCCTTGCCCTGGAGTCACTTTGGCACTGGTGACCAGCTTAATTCCCCAGCACGCTTGGCTGAGCATTCCCCACCCCCTTGTAACTGCCTCGTATTCCAGGAAGGAGCGCACAAGCCTTTGCCTCACTTTTCACATAGCTTTCAACAGCTCCAATGTCATTGCCTAGGCGACCGGGACGCTACTAGATTGTAGTGCAGTAAATAACATAGATCCTCAATCCCAGGCCGCTCCTGTCTGCGGGAGACCTCCGGGGGAACTCGAAACGCCTGGGGAGCCAGAGCAGGTAGGAGGAAAAAAAGACAAAAGGAAACCCCTTGCTATTTGTGTGTGTGTGCTACTCAGCACGGACCCTCTCAGGAGCGCAGCCGGCAGATGACTTGTGGCCGTTCTGCTTTGTAGGGTGGCTATACAAGATTAGGAAATCTTGGAAAGTTTGTTCCAAAGTGCTTTAGATCCAGAGTTAAAGCACTTGTGGAGGAAAGACCAGCCAAGTGTGGGATAAAAAGCAGAGGAGGGGTTGGACACATGCAGGATGCTGTGGCTGGTTGCGGGCTGCCCGGCTCCGTGCAGTCAGCGGGATCGGGTCTGCACTCAGGGCTGGTGCTTGGCTGCCAGGTGCAGGAGGAACAGCCAGCTCTTCTCACCTCCCGTGAGCTGCAAGGGACTCCTGTCTGTCAACTTGTGTGTCTGTCAGAGAGAATTTGGTCTCACTCACTCCTGTTTTCTAAGCATTGTTTTGCACGTGTGAATTTACGTGTGAATTTACTAATCAGGGACAAGTGAACAAGAGCACAGGTGACGTTGCTGACCTTGGATTCTATCTACATTTTGCAAAGCAAGGCTTTGTCCCCCTCGTTACACTTCTGGTACCCCTTACCTGCCTTATGCTGATGAAAGAGGGAAGCTGAATTTGTAATAATTATAAGAATATTTTCAGAGCCAGTGGTTAAAATAAGAAGGAATTGTGCCCCTGGAGTGACACATCCCAACCCGTGCTGCACAGTCTGGCAGCTCAGCGGAGGAAGGTGGCAGCCCCACGTCACTGCTAATCTGGCAGTGTACTGAGCTAAGTCCCCAGAGCAAGCAACCGCGGGCTGTTTCCTCCTTGCAGGCTTTGTCCCTGTACTTCTAGTTGATTTTTCGCTGTGCAATTTCCCTGCAATGCACTAACTAGCAACAGAGGGAAGCAACAATCCAGTGAATGGTGGAGGAGACCCGAGAAGGCACGCGGAGAGGCAGCTCCCACGTGAAAACAAGCAAATCGCGTAAGCAGCATTTGCTCCACGCACCGAGCCCCCTAGTTTGCATGTTTCAGTCTTTCTTCCTCTGAAAGCCTGCAATAAATCAGGTGAATGGCCTGCCTGCAGACCTCCCCCAGCTCTGCATGTGCCCGACACAGTCCTGTGTCGCAGCCGTCACCGCACATCACTCCAGGCACATCATGTCCGTGTTGCTCTGAGGCAGAAGGGACAGAGGACCCCTGCTGCACCCTTCCCTAGCTGAAGAGATCTTCAGTGTAATAAGCATGATGTGGGTCTCTGGAGGTGTCAGGGTGGAAATCCTCCCGGTGGTTTCAATAGAGAGCTCCTCTGTGCAGAAGTCAAAGTGTTATCTCGGGCCTTTCCTCAAACGTTGGTGCTGGAAGAGGTGTCAGGGCGACGTCGGGGAGCTGGCGCTGTTACTGCAGAGGCTGCGGATCCTCCAAGGTGATGTGGGAGACTGGAAGTGACAGAGGCTGAAGCTGCTGGGGCTGTTTCGTAGCTCTGCTGCTGCCGCCAGTGTGTTTAGCCCCGGGGTAGTCACCTCCCAGTGCTATTTGCATAGTTTACAGGCACTGGGAGGTAATTACATCCAAGTGATCTAGTAATGCTGCTTTAGCAAGACAGAATCAGTCCCTACAGCTCTTCCTAGCTCACCTTCATTTAACCTGTGCCAAGGGCCTCTGCTGTTTCCAGTAGGATGTGATTTCCTTCTGCTGGACCTCACCGCTGAATCTCTTCCCTGCTTCCCATCCAGCTCGACTGCAAATGCCTCCACAGCACCTCGTTTTAGAGCAAATTACACCAGCAAAGTTGCTGCCAACTTTGGGGGATGCTGTCTGCAGTCTTCTGCAACTCCTTGCCATCCTGGAGTCCAGGCTTTAGCCTGTCCCTATTGCTGCAGGGATTCCTTCCCAGAACATGCAGTAATCACTGTGTGAGGGAGGCTGACAGCCAGGATGCTCTCTGTACCATGGAGTGTAAGTGTTTGGGTGCGAGAGGACGCTGGCCTGGCTTTGCAAGCACCAATTGTGCTTTGAAAGAGAAAGGGAACTTCCAAAACGCCCTTAAAATATTCAGATTTTTTTTCTGTTGAAAGCGAGTGCAGCCACGTGGTTAGAGCTGGTGTCACCCATCATGACCACACAGCACGGGGCGGTGCGGAGGTGCTTTCTCTGCTGAAGGAAACGGCCTGGCTCATTCTTGGCATTGCCGACACCTTGGGCCATGGAGGGCAACATGGAAACAGGGTAAGGCCCCCAGCAGAAGCCCCGTGGCAGCTCTGAGCTTTTCCTTTTCTCAGATCTGCTGCTGCCGTTCTTTTGTTTCTCTTCATTGACTCGTGGGACGAGGAGGGGTGGGTGGACACGAGACTTTCACAAGCTGGCTCTTCTGCGAGCAGACTTGAGGGGAGAGCTCTCTGCTGCTGTGCCGAGCCCTCCTGGAAGAGCACCTGCGGGCGCTGTGTGGCTCAGGTGAGTCACAGACGTGGCAAAAAAACAGCGTGGGACCAACTTTCAGGGGACACCACCCTGCTTTCGTTTGAACGCCTGGTGCGGTGTCTCCTGAAGCTGCCCAGCCTCCAGCTGACTCGGAGGGACCACGGAAAGGGCCCCGAGGCCGGCCCCACAGCTGGGCTCACCCAAACATCGCCCGCTGCGGCCGGCAGCCTGAGAGCAGAGAGCAGGAAGCCTTCGGGCTTTCAGTATTACACGGCGGTACTGAGTTGAAACGAGATGGTAACCCTCGTTTGGGGAAAAGGAGTAACCGGGTCTCGGCTGGGCCGTGAGTGTGTGTCAGGAGGGGCAAGGAAGCCGTCCCTGGGGTTCCTGGGGAGGAGGAGGATGGCCGTGCGGCGTGGCGGCAGGCAGAGGAAGGCAGCAGGCTGCTCAAGATGGCTGCGGGCCGGCCCTCCGCAGCACGCTGCCTCTCCCGGGGGCTTGGCAGGGGGACAGGCACCCGGAAAAGGTCCCGGTGTGCTCAGAGAAAGAGGCCGGGATGCTGTGGGCCCTCGGGCTGTCTGTGGCTCACGGCACATTGCAGCTGAGCCAGGCGTGCTCTGTCCATGTGGTCACACCGGGCTTTGCCACATATCGTCACCCGTTTCTCCAAAGAGCAGGCAAACAACGCAGCTTTCCTGGGTGTTACAACGCCTGAAGCACCTCCTGTGTGTTGTCTTTTCTCTCTGAGCATGTCTGCAGGCTCTGGAGCAGCTACAGACCGCCCTTGCTCTTACAGAACCACGTTTTTGCAAAGCAGGACCAGACGGTGGCCACCCATGGGCACTCGTAGCCATACGTATTTCTGGTGGGTTTCCTCCGTGGGGCCTGGTGACCACAAAGAGCCTGGTTGTAGGAGCAAGTAGGAGCAGTGCTGAGCACTTGGAGCAGGTGTAGGTGGGACAGCTCCCTCCCCATCTCACAGCCAGGGGCAGGAGGAGCAGACAGGATGAAGGGTGGCTCAGTGGCTGTGCAGCACAGCAGCATTCAGAAAACTTTCACCAAATTGGCTTTCCTACATGTTTCCTGTATGCAGTTCTGGGTAAACAGGGCACTTCTCTCAGTAAGGCTGCTGTCCCTTTACAGGAGAGGCAGTGCTTCTGCCTTGGTTTGCTTGGAAAGCATAAATTAACTTTCAATAGTATTTGCAAGCTGCTTAGAAGTGGGAAGGTCATTTTAATGCCTGAACAAGTAAATTGAAAGGTGCCTGTATTGTGTCTTCTGTGTGAGTTTACTTAGCTGTCTTTATGCCTTTACAGATTTCTGGGTATTTGCAACCAAAGGTTCATGAGAAAAATACATTAGTCTGTTGGCAGATAACATTCCTGGGATAAAAATTGTCCTGTGCCTAACATGGACAAACCAGAATCCAGGAGCAACACCGTAACAGAGCACAAGCAGACTTCCTGAAGTGGCCACTGGGTACTGGAGGTGCCTGAGCTTGGGTGCTGGGTGCTGCTGTGCTCCTGCCTTCCTGCCTTGCCTTGTTCGGAGCAGGAGGATGTTCCATACACCAGCCAACAGGGGCCAGCCCTTGTCTTGAACTCCTGGCACTGCCCTGATTCAGGGGCACAAAGGCCTGCCCTGTGTGCACCAGCTTTGCACAAGAGGGTTTCCCCACTCCTCTGCTGGCCACTGAGCAGCTGGGCAGGCAGGGTGCTCTCAGGGGAGCAGCACCAAGGGCCCCTTTGGCTCTGATTCTTACTGTGAGACTTTGTTTGCTACCTAACTTGAGGTTTCGGTTTTATTCAGAGGCCTCATACTCGAGAGTTTTGTATATCTGAGAAATCTAAGCCCTTTTCTGAATGAAGCCGGTCCCAAACGTTGGCTAGGAATAGCTGTCAGAGTGCCCCAGGGCTGGGGAGGCCGCGTGTGGCAGTGCTGGGTGCTGCTGGAGCACTCTGTAAGCATCTCAGATGGGAGCCCCGAGTCACAGGATTGGCATTTAGCAGAAATGGGCTGGCATCCAAGCACCCTGCCACTTCGGCCCTTTCCAAAATACCCACATCTGTGTAAGAATGCTGTCATCACCCGAAACACCACCCTTACGAGAAAGCTGCAGCCAGAGGGCTGCTGCAAGGACACAGCCGTGGTGCTTTGCTGGCCGTTCTCTGTGCAAAACCAGAAGCCAACACTGTGCTGGAAGGCGCTGAGTGGCTGTGGGGGATTCCTGCTGCCCCCTTCGATCAGGTATGGCTCTCCAGCAATGCTAACCTTGTTGTTTTTCTTTGCCCCTAGAGTGATTTATCCTTTGTCAGACTCCCCCTCTGCGAAGATGTCTGAGTCGTCTCCAGCCGATGAAGGTACAACGTTTGAGCACCTCTGGAGCACACTGTAAGTGGTATTTGATCGTTTGTGTCGAGGCAGCAGTGCCCCTTTGCTGTGCAATCTGTGTTAGCACATCTCATCAGTATGGCCTGGAGGGAGACAAGTTTCTTTCACATGCTCCAGTTTTCACATATTCCTTTTCTGCATTCAGAATTTTGCTCCCAGGTTCCAATTTCTCTGCTCAGACTATTTCATCTCCCAAACCCCCTTACCTCAGTGATGCTAGAAAGTCAGAGGCTGGGGAGTTTGCATACACTGAGTGCAGGGCCCCACAGAGGTTTTGGAAACTGTTTCTGAGAAGGGTTGTGCAACCACCAGGATTCCCAACACGCAACATAAAGACATAAAGCCAAAGGAACGAGCGCAACAAAGGGTGTTCGTGCACATCAGAGGTCAGCATCTGGGCACGCTTTTTGCTGGAGGAGACAAAGGTGTTTGGGCAGCAGGGTCAGAGTGCCTCCACAGCAGCTGGGGAGAGGAGGCACTGACTCATCTCTGCTTAGAGAGGAGCAGCCCATGTCCGTTGTACCTTGCCTGATGGAAGCTCCTCTGGCCCCAGCAGCACAGCACCAGCCCCTGCCCATGCCCCTGTAGCACAGCGTGCTGGGGAGAGGGCACCTGCCAGCACTGACCAGCCTGTTATTGTGATCTGTGGCCCTTCAAAACGGTGCAGGCTGTGCTGGAGAGCTGATCATCTGCCATCACTTTCTCTCAGGGAACCAGACAGCACCTACTTCGACCTCCCTCCGTCCAGCCATGCAGGCAGCAGCGAGGTCTCCAACCGCACGGAGGTGACGATGGACGTGTTCCAGCTGAGAGGCATCAACGACTCCGTGATGGTGAGCGTACCTCACATACAGACTTGTCTTCCTCCTGGTGACTGGGTGGCTTTAGAGTAGAAAATGGGAGCTTGATGGTTCATAAACCAAACAGAAACACTACAGGTGCAGCACTGCCATTATTTGTTTGGTGTCTGCTAACCTATAAAAGTGACTGTGCTGCGGTTTTGCAGCCCTGTGGTACAGTGGTCAGTAAAATAGTGGCTACGTATTAATACATCCTCTAGGCCATTCTCAACAGCAGCACCAATGACAGTCACAGTTTTGGGGCTGGGAAGCAAGAAGGCAGCTGCCCCAGTCAAGGTAAAGTGCAGCGGTCGCAGTGACTGTAGGAAGCAGGCTCTGTGCTGGGCACGTGCATCTTCCTCCTGCTTGCTTAAACATGCAGCAGGGCTTCTGCGCTGTGATGACGGTGTAGCTCAAGTACCTCAACAGAAATAGAGTATAATTTGCTCAGGTGTAAACATGCTGTGTAGTAAAGTTGTTTGCAAGCTGCTCTGCAGCCAGGCTTCTGGAGGGCCACGTCATTCCCTGCTGCAGCGGGGCTCGGCTGGGTGCTCCTCTGAATGGTCTTTCAGAGAGGAAGGGCACAGCAGGAAGAACTTGCTTCAGTAACAAAAATCTCTCCAATTTGCTGGTTAGGATGTGCTCTGTTAGGAACGGGCTCCTCAAAATTGCTCAGCTTTAAAATCACTGAGGCCGTGCTTCTCTTTTCCTGAGTGCTGGAGGTGCACCAGGGATAAAACCCTTCACAGAGATCAGCTTGCCATCTCTGAAAGCCAAGGGCTTGGTTCGCACCGTGTAACCACTGCTCATCTGGCCTCAGGATCTCCCCCTGCCCAGCCAGGCATTAAAAATCCTCTACCAGACATCTCAAAGGCAGCGGGGGCCTCTATAATGCCCCCAGAGCACATGCTGCTGCATTCACGCTCCTCCCAAGCCCTGCAGCCTCCCAGGAGCATCCATCCCTTCCCCAGCATGAGGCAGCTCTGGCCGTTTCAGCATCTCCCTCCACAAAGCCCCCGTTTCCCTCCTCGCCAGCTTGCATCCCCTCCCCCAGCTCCTTTTCCCTCGCTTTCAGCTTACTTTCCCTCTCTTGCGGGCCTTTGTCTGCAGCGGGGCAGGAGGCTGAGCCTGGCAGACGGCTCAGGTGGAGCCCCTTGTGCTAATAACCATGGAGCTGTCCCTGCACTGATGTTCGGCCTTGCTTGGCTCCTTGGTGCTGCCGTGACTGAAGCCACCCGCAGCAGATTCCTGCTGTGAGCAGGCTGCGGGCTCACAGGGGCAAGGAGCACAGAGGCAGAGCCAGCTCCCAGCCCTCGCTCGCAGCAATGAGCCAGCAGTACATATCTGTGCTGGCCCCCTCGTGCAACCACTGCGTGCTGCAGTGCTGAGCTCAGAGCGAGCTCCTGCTAGCTGTTGTCACCGGGAAGTGTGGCAGGCTGACGTGCACGAAAATAAACACACAGGTGAAGTGATGCAGCCAGCCTGACCTGGAGGTGGGACCAGGGAAGGTGCAGCTGCTGAGTACCGGGGATATCTGGAGGATGCCAGAGGCAAAACACGTGGGGAGTGGTGGTGCTGCAGCGCCTGGCTCTGCTGCTGCTGCTCGGTGGCTGCCAGGACACCCCCGTGCCTGCCCAGCCAGGCAACTGGGATGCTCTGTGTCAGCATCGCGTGGATGTTGGATGGCTCCACCAAACCTGTAAAGCATCTCAGGGTCCTGGGGGAGGAATTGCTGTGATTAAATGTGAACAGCTCCTCAGCCACCCTGACTTTTTGCCCAACTTCAGGACCTTCAGGTGCTGCTGCGACCTGGCTGTGCGCGGGTCCATGCATGCACATCGGTGTACAGAGGGGGGTGATCCACACTGGCTCCATCTTTGACAATACAACCACCACTCTTCGGGTTCCCCCTCTGCTATAAGACACAGAGTTCTGCAGTGAGCTCTGGCTGACGTGAGGACCGTTCCTGCCCCTGCCTCGAGTCATAAAGAAACCTGACTCATCGCAGGGCTTGTGCTGTAGCCGGCAGTCCTGCTGCTTTCTGACGTCGCGCCCTGCTTTCAGCCAGATGTTGGGTAAACATCTAACTCATTAGGCTTCTTCAGAACATCTCTCAGTGAAACAAATCAGTGACATGAGACAGGATGGCAGGGAGCAGAGCATTTATTAGCGGATGTAAGGCTTGGGACGCGGGAGGCTACCTGGCCTCCGGGCAGTTTTGTCAATGGGCCCTCCAGGAGCTTTTGAGCCAGGAGAGCCCTGATGGGAGCTATTGATGTGGTTTGTAATGCTACTGACCTGCAACTGAAAGAAACCCCAAGGGCCCAGATTGGGGTGGATGGAGGGACAGAAGGACAGAGTGATGGCCATGACATTCACGTCCAGCTCCACAAGCACAAGCTGGAGTTATCTCAGTCACAGCCACCCCTGGCTGCGGAGAAAGGCTTCTCTTGGGATGGGGTTTGACTCCAGCGACGCTGCAAGCAGCTCTCTGGAATTAAGCCTGGCTGGGTTTAATTACGGAGCAGGACCCCCGCTCCCCTCGGTGGGGATGGTTGGTACAGCCTAGTCCATCGCTGGGCAAGCTGGGGCCTGCCCCGCGCTTTAATGAATAGTCATGAGGGACAGAAGGGGGTGGGCCCCGTTTTGTTGTTGGATGCAGCTAGTTGACAGAACTAAGGGAGATGAAAAAAGCAAAAAAAGCCAACAGACCGCACACAGGTGGCCAGCACAGCATCCCTGGCACTGCCTCGGCAGCCCCGCTCCCCATGGTCCAGCACCGCAGCTCCCCGGCCGCCTGCTCCATCGCCCCCCGACCCCATGACTCCTCTGCCGGGAAGGTTCCCACTGGTCTATAACTCCCACGAAGACTAAAATGCTGTACATCAGCGACCCGATGCAGCATTACACCACGGTAGGTGCTTCTCTTTGCTAAGGGGTTTTGCCTTCTTGCTCCTTGCCTAGAGTCGTGCCCTGGCGCCGTGGCAGGAGTGCAGTGTGACGGCGTGCCCTGGCTCTGCTCGCGGAGCCTTCGTGCTGCTGCTGCCCGGGACGTGCAGGGGACATGGGGCTCTGGAGGGACCCACCTTGTGGACCCGGCACTCTCTGCATCAGAGGCAGTCGGCAGCATGAGGAGAATGAGCTGTGCCTAATTGGGATGGTTGCAGCTTCATGGGCTCGGTGTGCATTTCTCTCGTGTTTTCCCGTGCTGTGTGTTGCAGAGGGTGACTTAAATCTTTTGTGTAAATGGACACGGGCTCCCTAACCTCTTGTATATGCAAACTGGGGTGTGCCTGCTCTGGAGAAACCCAGCTAAAGGCAAAGGGCAGCTGTGAGCATCCTTAGGAGAAAACTCTGCCTGCGGAGCCCGGAGGTGCTTGGCACCTCAAGCTCTGGTTCCCCTCTCAGGTGCGGGCACTGCAGCTCCTGGCATGTGCTGCATTCCCAGGCAGCTTTTCCTTTCATGGCATAGAGGCTGGAAGGGTAGAGCAGATGAAATAGCACCTGTGCTTGCAGGGCAGCAGAGTTTTGTCCCTGTCCTCCAGGGCTGAGGCTGCTTTCTTAGTCAGAAGGTTTTTGGATCTGTTGTCTGGTGTCCAGAAAGCACTTGGATACAGACGCAGATACAGACAGAAAGGTGCGCCGTTGCACTTCCCAACCAGAAATTATTTCATTTCTCCTTTTTGTCTGATGTGAGTAGTAGAAGCATGTATGTCCTGGGTTCTTTGTAATGCTGCTGCTTGGGATGCTATCACTGCATCCCTGTGGATATTTATATAGGTGTGTGTATGAACACACACGCACATATATATATATTTGCATATACGCACACACAAGCACTGTGTTGGATTTGTTGACATACATACACACAAACACCCATGCTTGGATTGGTCTGCTAAGAGAACGTCTCCAAAATTAACTCAGTCTTAAAAGACAAGTCAGTCATGTACTCGCTTGGCTCTGTGTATCCCTGCCGGGTACCTGGGGGCTTTGCCTGGTGCTTTGTAACCAAAATGTCCCATGAGTCGGATAGACTAGTGAGACTGCTTATAAAAACCCTATAAAACATGCAGAGAAATAATATTAATTGGGGTGTAAAAGGCTTAAGGAGATCTTCTAATCAGCAACAGCTGGCTTTCACACCTTTGTATAGCCCAAGAAGCATCAGCTGACTCTAATGAACCTGATTCACTTAATTCAGGTGTTAAATTTTCTAGGAGAAAGCACTCTTTTATGTCATACATCTTCACTTGAACCAAAATTAGCCTGAACCCTGCAGTTGAGGACGGTGGCCTAAGTCGGCCCCGTTCTCCAGCTGCCCTTCCCTCTGCACATCTCCAGCCATCCTCCCTGCCATTTCCAGGGGACGCCTTCCCTCTCTGCGCTGCAGCTCCAGCGTGCTAGCTCCCGAGCAGCAGGCATCGCCAGGAGGCAAAAAGCTTCCTGTTTATTTCCCATTTCGACAGGATATGAGTAACTGGGCCGGCACCCACTCCTGAGCTGCCTGGCGGTGCGAACCCAGCCTGCTTTTGTCTGGCTGTGTCCATGCGTGTGCAGTGTCAGTGCTATAAGTCGGCTTGTTTGCTCCTTGGTACTCTCCGTTTATTCCTAAAAATCCGCCCTGTGGCTGGGCAGAGGGTGTGCACTCCGCGTGTTCCCTGCAGTCCTTCCATGTCCCGGTCACTGCAGGAGAACAAAACGGTGCAGTCTCAATTTCCATGGGTTATTCGGGCTGTGGTTTCGCAGTGCTCCCCTAAAAATCAACAATCCTTGTTCCTCTTGTGTTTCTCCTCCTGTGCGATGTGCCTCACACCTCCCGGCCCCACCGCAGTGCCACCAGGGCTGCCCCGTCCCTGGGGTCCTGCTGACAGCCGGCGGTGGGGAGCAGGCTCCCAACTGGGTGGCAGCAGCTCTCCACGGACACTTTTAATTCCCATTTTGCTGCAGTTTCTTGTAAATTTTTCTCCAGGTAAATTCTGAGATTGTGGAAAGCCCGGATGGGCGTTGTTTATCATTAGCAGGGCTATTTATAGAGCAGCGAGGAGGAATAGAGGGGTTTCTGCACATGTTTTTAGGGGAGAAAATGGCTGTATTTGTAAAAGCAAGTCGGATCTTGTTCAGCATTCCTCCAGTTAGTCACAGACTCCAACGACCTTGCGAGAGATGCAGACAACAGGAGAACTTTCCTGGGGAAGGATGATTGCGTTTAAGCCATTATACATCGTACGCGTTTGGGTGAGGTTTGGATCCCAAGTCAAAACACGTCTCTTGATTCCTAAGTTGTGAGCCTCGCAGCCCGGCAGCCTTCCGAGGGAAAAGGCAGATCACCGAGCCTGCTGCTCCTGGCCAGGGGTGGGCTGACAAATATCGCTGCCTTCTGGTGCCTCCTGGCTTCCAGGGCTGCCCTCGGTGGTGCTCAGCAGCCGGGGGGCAGCCCCTGAGCAATTCAGGGCTTGCAGATCTGGGGGAAAAACATTCTAGCTGCTTGGCGAAGCAGCCAACTTTGGGATTTTTTCTCTCTTTTGAGTATTAGTTTACCTGTCTACCACAGAAAAAGGGAAAAAAAAAAAGGTCTGATTTTCAGATGAAAGGTTAAGGCTGTTTTAGCCGCGCAAATTTTGAGAATGTCCTTTGCTGAGGCTACACCTGCAGATAAAAGAGCTGCCAGCTTTTTACTGGAAATGTCTGATGATAATTGTTCAGAAGATGAATAAGAAAATACAGTAAAAAGCCAGGTTTTGGCCCGTTGTACATGGAACAAGAGCCAGTAGATGTGCAAATCGGTGCCTTTGCTCTGTGACCTTATTTGCAGTGTGCCGCATCAGCTATGCACTTGTAGGTTTGAGGTTTTCCCCAAATTAAACTTGCATCAGTGAAAGCCACTAAAAGCAAACACCCCAACTAGGAAATGAATTACACAAACCACCATTCAGAGCTCCTTCTTCATATTCATGGCAGGGCAATCCTTCCAGAAACGGTGCGCACGTGTGCACGCATGAGAGGTGAATGAATGCAGAAAATATGTCTGGAAACCGGGTCGGATTTTCAGAAATGCGATGGGAACGAGCTGTCGGCAAACAGGGTGGCTGCTCAGGGGTTTTAGGTACCGACCAGCTCGGGCAGGCAGTGCCACCCGATGAGGCTGAGCTGCTCGCAGGGTCCAGCTGGAGGCATCCAGGGGCTGGGGCTGGCTGCCAGAGCCGTGCAGGCAATTCACAGCACCACAAAGCTCTGGCTACCGGGGACAGGGCATCTCCTTCCCGCTGCAGGAGCGAGGTCTTTGCTCAGGGCATCCAGCATCCCACAGCCCAGATGGAGCCCAGTGGCTCCCAGCAGCTCCCAGTGGCTCCCAGCATCGCTGCGGGACCCTCGGTCCCCTCCTGCCCCGCGTGAGGTCTGGCCCTGCTTTACAGGGCATGGTTTTGGCTGGTGTTACTGCCGTGGAGGTGTGGCACTGAGCAGTCCTTTACTGGAAATCTGTAACCTTGATGGGTCTGGTGGGGTGCTGGGAACCTGCTGAACTTTGAGGACAAAAAGAGCCTTTCTGTGGTCCTTGCCTAGCAGAGTTTGTAGTGCAGCGGTCATCGCTCTCCCCCCTCGGTGCAGTAGGACATTGCCCCTATCCTAGCAAAACCCCCAAAACGCAATCCTGCTTCCCCTGCTAACAACAAAAAAAGTTATCTGCAGCCACACGTGCGACAAATCCGGAGATCTCGGCATCTGGCTGCCTGCAGTGGGGATGAGGCTGGTAGAAGGGGGTGACTTACACGTATTAGGTTCACCCTTCACACAAGTGGTGACCTGTTTAAAAACCACACGGACCCAGAACAGCTCCTCTGGCTCCTCTTCCCCGCATGCTGGCCCTTTAAGGAGGCTGTAACAGGACACCCGAAGTCCTGAAGAAGTGCAGCTGAGGTTTCCATGTCTCTAAACTGGCTGGTGTTGTCTTTTTTTTTTTTTTTTTTCCTCCCTCCTCCCCTTTTCCCTTCCTCCAGTCCCAGTTTAATTTGCTCAACAACAGCATGGATCAGAGCATCGGCAGCAGAGCAGCCTCCGCCAGCCCCTACAGCTCCGAGCACACCTCCAATGTCCCCACGCACTCGCCCTACTCGCAGCCCAGCTCTACCTTCGACGCCATGTCCCCGGCTCCCGTCATCCCCTCCAACACTGACTACCCGGGTCCCCACCACTTCGAGGTGACCTTCCAGCAATCCAGCACAGCCAAGTCGGCCACCTGGACAGTAAGTTGCATGTCTTCCTCGCTCCCCTGGAGGGATGCTTGCTGCTCCAGGTTGCGTTTTCGGCCAGCCCGCCGCAGACACGTGAGTGCCCGGGTGCTGTTTCGCGGCGGGATGCACGGGGCACGCTGGCTCGTGCACAGCCTAAAACACGGGGGCTCTGCCTGCGCAGGTGACCCTGAGAAGCACAGCGTGCAGGACACATCAGGGCTTGCTTTTAAGCCGGTTTTCGTTTGTTTTCCCAACCGGATCGTTAAACGCGGTGATTTGAATATAACCACCGGTGCAGGAATCCCCTAAAGTGAGGATAAATGTCCACAAATACCACAAAGCTGGAAAAATGCACGGGGAAAAACGCCTGCCACGCTCTTGTGGCAATTCCCAAAGCATTTTCCAGCAACTGCTGTCAGGTGAGGCAGGAGGTGAGATGGACCTTCACTGTGATCTGCTGGGGCCGTTCTTAGCTGTGTCTTAAGTTCTTGCTTTTCATGCGTAGTCCTCTTTCGTCCTGTGTCAGAAGGGTAACTCAATCTCTAGAAGTCACAGCAAAATTACAGCTTAGATTTGGAACCACAAAGGGATGGCTGCACAGCATCACGCGGTGTGGGCTCAGCACCTTGGTCCTTTGGAGCTGAAGCACAGCTTTGGGCCAAAAGTCCTCCCGCATGTCCACAGCCAGGCAGGGGACTCCTCTGCACTGACCAAGAATTACCCTGAGCACAGGGCAGCTGTTTTTTGTGGAAAAAAGGTCATAAAGTCCGGCTCCCGGTTTTGTGTAATGCTGTCTGCAGCTGTAAGAGCAGCACCCGCAGCTGTTACCAGGCATTGCTGCCTCGGAGGTTTCCCTGCCACGCGGTGAGCACCTTCAGCCCTCCTCACTGCCACCTGAACGCCTGCAAGAGCTCCTCGTGGACATGCCTGTGGCGGGCGTTTGTGTTCCTTAGGGAATGTTTCAAAGCGGAGAGGCTGAGATGAGACAAGTGACACAGGGAGGGAGCAACCGGGCTTCCTCCGAGGCTGTCACTTGACGTTATGGTGAGGCAGGCAGGACCCATTGGGGCGATGCGTCAGCTCAAGGTGCGATAATGGCTTTTATTTTTGGGAGCCGATGTGTTTAATTGCTAAGAAAGTCCTTTCCATGGCAAATAGGAAGCGTCTTGGGATGCTTTTGTGCAGGGACACAGCGAGCTCACTGCCCTGTGGGTGCTGGCACAGTGCTGGGACTTGTGCCCATGGAGCATACGGGTGGGATGGGATGGGATGAGGTGGGATGGGGTGGGATGGGACAGCCTGTAGCAGCCTCAGCAGCGCTGTGTCCATCCCCTGTGAATCCAGGAGCTGACCTGGGCAAGAGGAGCCCCGTGGCAGGGTGTTGCTCTCCCCCAGTGCTGCAGGGATGGTGACACCGCTCCCTGTGCTGAGCGTTGAGACCCCCGGTCAGGGTGAGGAGTCCCTGCCTGCCCCCCAGGGGCTGGGCTGGCAGGGCAGAGCAGTGCAGCACCGCGCTGACAGCTCGGCTCGCTGCGGCAGCCACGTCTCCAGCAAGCTGTCAGCGAACTGCTGCTTGAATCCAGCCAAGGTTGTGGCTTCACTGCAGACTTGTGCTGACCCGTGGCCGGGATGAGCACCAGGATTAGATACAGCTCGCCCTCCTGGGAGTGGTTGGTCTGTCACTTTTTTCACTGTCTTTCCTTGCAAGCTACTGCTAAAGGATGCACGTGTTAGGTCTGAAGGTCCCCGGGGCAGGACATGGCTCCATCCCACTCCTACCCATGTTGGGGGATAAGTCCTGCCAGTTAAATGTAAAGCTGCGCAGGAAGAGAGGTGTTCAAAAAGGTATTCCCATGCCTCAAAACCACAGAGGCATCCGGAGAGAGTGAGAGCAGCAGCCATGAGCCAGGACATCCTGCTGAACCTCTCGGGGTGATGCCAGCCGTGATGGGTAAAGAACCAAAGGAGAAGGCTGTGCTCCTTGGTGTGGGTTTGGAAAGCAGAACATCGGAACAGAAACCACACACCAGTGCCATGTGTCTCTCACCCAGCTGTCCTGATGTGGAGGGAAAAGGCAGGGAAATGTTGTGTGCTTGCTTGCCACCGTCCCTGGCTGGACAGGCTGGGGAGACGGCTGGGGGATGCAGCGGGCTGGGCACTGCAGGGTACCCCTGGGCAGAGCTGTCAACAGGATAGGTTTGTGCACACCAAAATATGGAGAGTGCACCTACTGAAAACACACCATGCTCACCTTTAGTGTAGCAGGAAGACCCTTCCCTTGTCCCAGATGAGGCACATTGCAACTGCAGGGAGTAAACTGAAAAAGATCTTTTTGACTGCTTGTCCCCAAAACAGCAAAGGAGGGAGCAGCAAGAGGCTGAGCTGGTGCCATGCAGTTAGCAAGCCCGTGGTGGCACCTCTGCCTCGCTGGAGCCACCCTCAGCGGTGACACCACATCCTGCTGGTGGCTGCACCCCAATGCGAGCGCCCCATTGCTTCTGGGACGGGCTGGGAGGAGAGGGTCCGGAGGGCCCTGGTTCAGCTGCTGAAGTCTGCGCTGGGCATCACCTGCACAGGGCTAACTCCTGTGCAAAGCCTTGTCATGAGCACGGAGAGCTCTGCAGACAAGAAGTGGTTGGGAACCAGGGTCTTTGACTCTAGTTGAACGTAGCCCAGCCTGTCTGAGCATCGCCCTGTGCTGCCTGCGATCCTGTAGCTGCTGTGTCCTGCTGGGAGCTGTGCTGATCACGAAGGGCTTTTAATCTCAAGGCTTTGCATTAAGGTCTCCTGTGGATGTCGGAGCACCCAGTGCCACAATAACCTCGGGGAAGCCCTGGGACACAAGAGATCCTTGGCAGATGCTCTGTGGGCAGCCGAATGTGCCGCAGAGGATGCGCCCCACCAGCCAGCAGCCAGGAGCTGACATTTCTGAGCCAGTCCAGCTTTCACTGCACCACTGCTGAGCCTCGTGGTGAGCAGGAGAGCCAGCAGTGCCTTGCACCCAGCAGAGAGTGGGGGATGCTTGGTTTGAGACAGTGGTGCCTGCAGGACCCCCAAAGGACTGCTGTCTGGCTCCCTGAGGGCGCTGCCTGCCCGAGGTCCTGCTGTGCTGACAGTCAGAGTTGTTCCCACTCCTGTCCCAGCTGTGCTGCTGGATATTTGTGCTGGAAGAGGGCTGCTTCCTTCCTTCCCTCTCAGCTCAAAATCTGCATTAAAACTGCTTGAAAAATCCATCCTGGTTAAAAGCAGGGACGAATTCAGCAAAACATCGTACCCTGTATGTTGCCCATCAGTCGGTGTACAAATACCAGTGTTTGTATGCAGTGTGACTCTGCATAAGTTGTGGACATGAATACAGAGGCATGCAAGGAAGAATGGGAAAGCTGTTAGGAAATACAGGCACCTGGCAATGAAAGCTAAAATGTATGGTCAGTAGGAACAGGGACAGTGACACTGCACAGCTCAGTAATGGCCCAGTCCTTGCCAGGAGTAGCTGAATTAACAATCCTGGCGTGGTAAAGGACGTGCATGGTTTGCACATGGAAAGAAAAAGCAGTAAAATATGCTTCCTATTTCATCGGTAGCTAAGGAAGCCTCATGGCTTCTGAATATTTTAAGACTCACTACACCAAATGATGCACACTAAGAAAGCTGCAAGCCACAAACTCCCCTGCACGGCTTTGTCCCACGTCAATTCAGAGCCCCGGGGAGCAAACCACCACTGAGAGCAAGGCTTCATCAGACCAGCAGCTCCAGAGCCTCCTGCAGTATTGGGCTGAATCGTTGAGAATCCAGCCAACAAAGAGCTGGCGGTGCACAGGCAATGCCAACCCAAGTAATTCAGCGCAAACAGCCTTATCAAAAGATTTGACAGAGTTTTTTGATACAATCATAGGCATGGAGCCTAACAGGCTCCTATTTTTGAAGGGTTTAGCTTGAATCCCTCTGGAGGCCATTCCTCTGGGACACGTACAGTTATCCATCCTCAGATAGCACAGTTCACACCGACAGATAAGTCACAGCTGGAAGAGGGAACGTGGCAGGGAACCACATCCCATATTCTGAGACCCCATGGAGCCCTACCACGCAGTTACCCCTAGGCTTGGAGACCTGTATGTGCAGCTCAAGCAAGCAATGGCAAACAGGTGAGACAAAACCGAGGTGAACGTGGCTCCCACATTTAGGAAGGGAGAATCCTAAGAGCCTAGGGCTCCTGGATGAGAATCCACGTGGACACGAGCTCTCCACGCCGCGGGTGGTCTGGGCAGGACGGTGTCACCCACCGGGATTGGGGCTGCCTCCAACCACGGCACCGCCGAGACCACGGCCGCAGCGTGTGCAGCTCGTGTCCACACCTCCAACAGCCTGTTGACAAAATAGAAACGGTTTGGGAGGGAGATCCAAAGAAGATGAAAGATTTGGAACAGATGCCTTGTAGGAAGATACCATACGGCATGAAAGGTCTCCCAGAGAAGAGTAAGGGTGGCTTGATCGCAGTCTGCAAGTACCTGCACAGGAGATGGTTTCTGATAGCAGACAGCTCTTTAATCTAACAGAGAGAGACATAATGAGATCCAGTGCTTGGAAGCTGAAGCCAGGCAAATTCAGACTAGAAACACGGTGGAAATTTTTTAGCAGTGAGGATAATTAACCATAGGAACAATTTACCAAGGAATGTGGTGGATTCTCCAACTCGTGCAGTATTTAAATTAAGAGTCTACATATCTTCTGAGAGATAAGCTCTACTTCAAGCAGATATTGTTGGCTCCATCCAGGATGAGTAGGCATGGGGCTTAGGCAAGCAGTGCAGGAAATCCAACCAGAGGATCCAAATTTGTTCTTTCTAACCTTAAAAAGGTGAATTTGTTAATTTATGAAACGGACAGATGGATAGAGCTGAAGACTTTGAGCATGAATTTGGGACCCACATTTGCCACAAACAGCTCTGTTTTTGCAAAAGGATGCCAGGCAGCCGGTGGGCAGGGGGTCCTGAATCCCCATGCTGGCCCTGACCGATTTTGGAAATGACTGCTGACCCAGCTTTTGGGAATCTCACCAACCTCTGAACCGAAGTCACTGTGCTAGCCTGTTCCCTACGAAGTCCTCGAGGCTGCCGCCGCCTTCGTTTTCATTTTTAATGGCCTCTTATCAGCAGAGAGCGAAGAGCAGATGCTGAAAATAAGGTTTTTGAAGCCCCCCTCCAGCAGGCTGTGCCGATGGGGCTGGGAGGAGGACGGGGAGCTGGGGCTGTGCAAGACGAGGCACGCCAGCAGCCTGCCTGTTTGTTGGAAGCTATCAGGGCTCTCGGTTCCCCGGAGCTGCCCGTACATGCAGGAGCCGCGAGCTGATCTTGGCTGTTTTCTCGCAGGCAGCCCCTCGCCACGCCGGCCAGCTGGTAACTGATAGATAATTAGTATTTTTCTCAAGTCTGGTTCGAGGGGGAGCAGCGCGCCCTCCCCTTTAAAGCACTCGCAGAAGCGTTAATGGGGTCTTTGGCCTCCCGTGGCCTGGCTGCAAAGGGGCAAGGCCTCGGTGCTGGCAGCTGGGGCTTCTGCTGCAGGAGGGGGATGAGCCCAACACTACGCAGGGAATGGGACACCCCTAACCCCAGTGAGCGTGCACGGTGGTGCTCAGGCCACGTACAGCACCGTGCCTGCTGCTTTGGAGCACCGACAGCCGGGGGTGGAAAGATTCCAAGGCTGGAGAGGGTCAGAGGCGAGGGGAGGAAGCCCTGGCACTGGGGATGTCATTGAGCAACTCAAAGCAATCCAGCCAGCATCCTGTGCTCGGCCGGCCCCGTTCTGGTGGTTCCATCAATACTGCACTGGGAGACGGGGAGCTGAAATGGTTCCTCCGATGTAGCTGAACGGGGAGGATGGAAACAACTGGTGCTGTTGGAGGGAGGTTCTCCTTGCTGGCTGCTCTCTGAAGTATGTTGAGATAGGCAGGTGTAAAGAGGAGGGGGAGATCTTCAGGAGAATCTGTATCAAATGCTTCAAACTCCAGCAGCTTACCTGCATTTCTGAGAGGTCTCCATACAACAGCAGTAGCCTAAAAATGAGCAAGGGCAGGCGTAGCTCGGTGCTCTCCATCTGAGCCATAAACATCTTTGTTTTTATGTGAGTAGTTGGGCAGAAGAGCACGGGTATTTTGGCATGCCAGAAATAGGAAAGCAACCTCAGCATCAGCCTGCTCCAAAGCCATTGAAGCCAGCCCACTGGAGGCTTTCCATGAGCTTTTGCAGGGCGTGGATGAGGCTCCAGGAGCCCCAGACACAATGGAATTAAGAAAAAAAAGGCAAAGGAATTTGGTGTGCGATGTTCCAACACGATCACACTATCAGCCCCACTATCTCGAACGTGTATGGTATGCACGGGTCAAGGGAACGACTCGCTGGCAGCTGCCTCTCCAGCAGGAAGGTAGCATGGTCCCACGGGGACGGCTGGGAAGGGAGAGGGGACGGGGACGTGCCGTGATGAAGCAGCAGCAGTGGACTTTGGCCAGCTCCCTCCTGGTCTGCCAGGAGCCCTGGGGTGGAGGACGCCTCCCGGCCAGCCGTGCCACCTCGAGCACAGCTGGTGGGGACCTGTGGAGCTCTGCAAAGAGCCCGTACCCAACGGCTGCACCTGCGAGGCTGCTCAGGGTCCTCTCCATCCAGGCACCTTCTCGGGCTGGCTGCCTGGAGGGCACCGCAGCAGGTCCTGGGCTGCTCCCGCGTGTGTGTGCCCAGAGGAGCCAGCACCAGACCCTGCAGGAGACGGGCTCCACACAGGCTCGCCTTCCCTTCCTCCCTGGCTCTCTGATGTCCAGTCTTCATAATGCAGCGTGAAATAACCGAGCTGGTAGATTTCTGGTTTCCTTTTTGGATGCTGCTGAGCTCCAGTGCAGGCTTGGTCAGAGGACCCAAGCACCCAGATGCATAGGGGAGGCAGACTTACCAGAAATGATTAAAAAAATCCCCCAGTGTGCCAGCACTGGCTGCTGAGGCAGTGACTAAGAAAGGCAGCAAGCCCGGCTGGCAGTTATTTTAGGGATGTAGGCACCAGGGAAGGAAGGGAGAGGAGTCCTTTGGGGGTGCCCGATGTGTCCGGCACCAGTGGGGGCTTTTCTCTTCGGCACCTGGTGATGCTCTGGGCATCTGTGAACCCCAGCTCATAGCAAACGAGCAGCGAGGTCACTCCAGGAGGAATTTCCAACTCAGTGAGAAGTTGTACAGGCTAGTGATTAAAAAATGGTTATTAAAAAAAAAATTAGAAAGGGAAAAATAAGCTCTGCAGTCGGCATGTCTTCCAGGATCTGTCGTAACAGATTCGTCCGAGCCGGTTAACGGTATTTGCGGTTTGCAAGATGCTACATGTCTGGGGAAGATGACAGACACATTATTATCACCTCTCCACTGCGATCTGTCCAAACCTGTCCCAGGATGCAGCTCCGCAGCTGCTTGCTCAGGAGTGCAAGGAAATTAGCAGCCGGAGGCAGCACTTTTCTTCTCTCTCTCTTGCCAGGCTAGTGGCTTTATTGGGATCCATTGACTGCAGTCCTGGACACGTCTTGAGTAGAGCTAATGAGGAGACTGGAATGTAAAGGAGGAGGAGGAGAAGGCTGGTAGGGAGGAGGGGGGAGGATTTGTGGAAAAAGTAATTGTTGAGCAAATCATTTCCTTCAAGAGAGAAAGGAGGACTTGGCTGCAGCCCTCCCGAAGCAGGCAAGTCTAGACGCTTCGGTGTCAACAGTTGAAGATAAATAAGATTTTATCAGCTCCGAATCTGTTGGGACACATCCTCCTAGCGGTTCTGCTGCCCTGGGAGGAGTGCAGCAGATGGACTTCTCTGCTAGGTCTCTCCACGCAGAAGGTTCAGGCTATTTCTTGAGCGAGGCTCTCAGCATATACGGGGAAACACACCTCTGCCACCTCCTGCATCCTGCATGGTGGCTGCAGGTCCAAGCAGGGCACTGGCCTCTTCCAGAGCAGGTCTGGGATGTCTGCAGGGGCTGAACGGACAGGAATCTGAAGGCTTAATTCAGTGCTGTTTCACAGCAGCCACCGCATTAATCTCCCTGAATTTCTCTAGGGCATGAGGTCCCTTGAACCCTGCAGTGCACAAACCATTTCCTTGGATGCAGCAGCAATGACACTGAGATAACTGCTGGAAGGGATATGCTGGGAGGAACCGAGGGGTCTCCACAGGGGTCGATTACACCATGGAGCTTCATCACTCCGGCGTGTTTGTGCCCGTTGTGTTCAGCGTGGATACAGCAGGGTCTCAGTCTCACCCAAGTAGCCGTGTTTCAAACGCAAAGGTGAAACAAGTCCCATCCAGGGACCCTTTGGGATAGCAAGTCCCTTGAAAAACAGAGGCTCATGCTGATAAATGGCTAGCATTTAATGATTGTGCTTTTCCATTTATTCTTACTGCTCTGGACTTGCACTACAAGACTTTACAGTGGCAGGGAAGGAGCAGCTAAAGGTGCCGTTGTATTTTCGCTGCAGCAAACCAGGGTATGATGACATTAAGAGCCCCGTGACTGTAGGGAGAAAAGGGGCACGTACGTTCTGCAGGTTTATGGAAGCGTAGGGCAGGCTGCTCCTGTTTGCACCGTGCTGTCAGCCTCCAGCCACACCAAGGTGAACCTGTTGTGCTCCGCAGATGTACGGTAACAGGCAGCCCAACGTGCAGAGATGGCACAACGAGAGCTGGAAGAACAAAACCGATGGTCCAACGCACAGACCGGGAACGGGAGGCACAGGAATGAGGCGCCCAAAGGCAGAACAGACTCAAACTTGTGTAGGTGTGGAAGAACTCAAAGGGCTGACACCTTTCAGCCTTGCTGCAGCAGTGCTGGTGGTGCTGGGGACTGCACCCGGGTGTCCCAGGGAGCTGCTCCCGGCCGAGGCTCCGACACCGCTGTGCAGACACAGCCCCGGCTGCGCTCGCTTCCCACATACCAGGGACAGCTCCTCTGGCCGGGGGCCAAGGAGTTTCCGCAGCACACTCCCCCGCCAGCGCACGAACCTCTGCTCCTGGGGGTGCAGCCTGGCCTGGGACAGCGACGGGAGCTTTTTACGCATGGCTGAGAGCAGAAGTCGCGGCTGCTGCCAGCTTGCAAAGCCGTGCACAAACAGGCAGGACATGAGTGAGCAGCCAGAGGCTTGCCCTTAGCCCAGGTGGCAGAGAAGTGGCCGTGGCAGAAAGAATACTGAAGCATTGAGGTGACAGCACCAGTCCATGCGATAAGTGCTGGTATTTCGGTCTCCCAGGTTCTGCATTTCGCTTTGCAGCTGCCCTGTTTTGTGCTTGAGGAAGGCTCAGCACCTCTCTGTGCTCTCTGCAAGCCAGGTGCATGCACTTCAGCTGCAGCTCATAAAGCACCAGCAACTCAAAGCCATTGCATAGCACCAGCCTGCACATAAATCACCTGTGCTGCATTATTGGTGATAGATCAGCAACTACAGATTACCAGAGAGGAGCAGAGGCACCTGTTTGCCTCTCTGCTTGGAGCCTGAACAGGACATGCATTTTGCTGTCCCTTAGAGAGAGCACACATCGCTCTTCTTGGCTGAAAATACAGCTGGGGATGGAAAATAAGGCTGGAAGCATACTCTGGGGATGTGGAGTCTCTGGGTTGTAAACACATAGTGAAATGAGGTGCTTGTTCCCGTGGTGGCCATGCACAAGCTGTGGCTGCAGGATGGGGAGCGCTTTGCTCCAGCAGCTGCAGGGCGTGCAGGGGGCCCACGTGCTGCTGTGCTCAGCCCGCGCTGTGGGCACAGGCTCATGGGACGCAGCCCTGATCCTTCTTGCCCAGAGTTATCGGCACGGAGTTCCTTAAAAGAAGGGTTTGTTATTGTTGAAGGATCTTTGAAGGCAATCCTGGAGCTGTTAAGACACGATAAGGTTATCAGCGGAGGCATGCCTGTGTTGAGCGGCAGCCTTTCTCCCTGCGGGGCAATCGCTGTGCTATTTAACAGAGATTTATCCATGTCATAACATGGTATAATGAGAGAATTTGTTACCAAAGAGCTTGCCATAATGCACCTCTGCTCCTCCAGAGCAGTTTTATTTCCCAGGCATGTTGAGGGCTGCCCGGGAATGTCTACATGAAAGGATCCTTTGACAGGAGTTGTCAGTATTTTAACACCTGGCAAGGAAGAGCCCCCTCCAAATAACCCTTGTTTTGCCATGTTGTCTCCTCAAAATGGGAGTGCTGAATCCTGAGTGCACCCCTGAGAGCAGGTTACGTGGGCTCAAGCTTCTCTTCCATGCAGAGAGGGGATCCGTGGTGCTGCAGGGGGGCTGAGTTCTGCATCTCGGCACAGTCCCTGGTGGTGCACAGGGAGCTGATCTGACCCCGGAGTCACTGTGTAGTCAGAGTTAGCTGGAATCCAAGGAAAATGTAGGGATTTTGGTGAAAGGCAGTGCTACTGAGCATCAGCCTGCTGGCAAGGCTGTATGCTCCAGATACTCCAGGTTAATTCTTGCTGCCAGGCTCAGCTTTGTCACATCTCCACATCACTGACAGCCTCCAGCAGGCACAGCATCCTCCAGCTCTGTCTCCTGTACCCTACAGCTTGCTGTGCTGGAGTTGTCGTCTTGCTGGAAACGTGCTGCACCCCTCCCAGGCTCCCCTTCTGCCAGAACGAGCCCCAAATACCCTCACATCCTACAGCAGCCCCATGTGCAAGCCTTGCTGCATCGCCCGATGCTCCTGCTTCAGGGCAGGTTTCCTGCCACAGGGAAAGCGCAGCAGCCATAGCGCTGCACCACGCTGGCAGCAGGAGCCTTGCTAGCCCTTGCACACCTGTATTTTGATGGCTCAGGACAAGCTTTAACATCCTCACAACTATTCTGCACGGTGGTATTTTCTTGGCACAGAGCGTGTGTTGTGGGGATGAGATAAAACCCTCTGAGCAGAGGCATGCCCTGCCGTGCAGGAACTAGCTGCGCTCCGTGCAGCAGGGGTGGGCTCTCGCACAGCAAACACATTCCTTGGGAGATGGAAAACAGCATGGCACTGGCAAGGCGGAAGGGAACCACATCTCCTCGCACGTGTGCCCCAGACACATTTACGGGAAGGCAAGGGATGAGCTGTGCACCCCCTGCCCCTGCTCCCCTGCCCAGCCTGCAGCTCCCTCCCACCCACCCCAGTGCACACTGCCACCACCACTCGACCCCATGGGGTCCCAAACTGCCCTGAGAAGTGTCCTGGGGCTGTGCACAGGGCAAGCACCAACAGACCCAAGAGCAAACCCATGTTCGGACCCATCTCTGTAGGCTGTCCCTACCTTTAAGGGCTCGGAGCCCCCCGTGCTCTCCGTCTTCCTCCAGCACTAGCAGAGATGCTTCCCCCGCTGCCCTGGGGAGGTTTGGGCTCACGATGCAGCATTCCCTTGCTTCTTCTTGTGCTCCATCCCCAGCTCTCACACATGTTGCTAACCCCCTTGGAATTAGGGTGCTGCCCCAGTGCCTTTTGTAGGCTCTGCCCTCACAACTCAGCGCACCTGAGCGGGGAGGGCAGGGGGCAGCAGGTAACCCCTTCCCATGCCAGCCATGCACCAGGGTGAGATGGGGATGCACCGTGTGGGGACAATCACTGCTCTTGTAAGAGGAGTTTGTCCCTTGCTGGTGATCAGACAACCCCTGTTGTGTCTGCACAGTGAGTGTTTTGGTGCTTACAGCCCATTTTTTATGAACACACCACTCCGGGGGTGAGCCCCAGCTGCTGCCCAGCATCCTCCCCTGCTGCCGGCCCTGGCCGAGCTGCTGCTACCACTGCAAGTGAAGAATTGAGTCATGGTCAGGAGAAACCCCGTTCAGCATTGCACTTGCTAGACATAATCAAACTCTGAGGTCTTGCATAATTAGCTGTAATTCTGTTATGCAATGGCAAGCATGGGCTCCTCAACAGGCTGGGAAACCCTCCCTAGAAGGCCCCGCGCTGCATCAAGCAGTTGGTTGTCTGTGCATTAAAGCTGTGTATTTCTAGGGAAAAAAAAAGTACTGAGCAAGAAGTTACTGCCGAGACAGCTTCCACACGAGGTCCTGTGGCCTCTCCCCGACATGCATGGGGGATGCACGACTGCAGGGCAGGGACCTGCTGCGCAGCGTCCCAGTAGCACGGGCAGCGCCGCCGCGGTTCCTCCCCCGGCACGCAGGGAATCTTCGCGCTGGCACAGCACCCCCGGAGTGGTTACGATACAATAGGCAGTAATTGGTTTTGTAACAAGCCATTATTTTAATTTTCTGGGCTGCTGCCACGTTGGCGGTTCACTCGGAGCACTCAGCAGGCAGATGGTGGCTGGATCCGAAGGGCTGCGGCTGGGCTGCCTGGGCGCGGGGCGAGGTGCTGCAGCTCTGCCCATGCTGGTGCCTAGCTGGATTTACACCCTGAGAGCTTTACCCCACGGAAGCAGTGCTTTAGGGCTAGAGGCAAACTGCCCAGTGCAGAGTTAATGCAGTTCCACTCACCAAAAAGGAGGGAGGACAGCCGTGCGCACTGCGGTTAGGAGCACAGCAGAGCTCACAGTGCCTCTGGCCTGCACATTTCATGGTTGAGCTGGTGGACGGGCATGATAACAGGGAAAGGAGTGCTGAGGGCAGCTCCTTCAGGGGCTCAGTGCATCCTGTGTGCCTGTTCGAAGCAGAGCTGGTCCATACAGAGGTTGTTGGAGAGGATGTGACCTGTGCTTGTGGTACTTGTGGCTGGGAACGCCTGCTGCGCTTCCCCCTCCTGCTGAAGATGTGACTGCTGGCAGCACCCCTCCTCCTGCCGAGAACACCCGGGGAGATTCCAGCTCCCTCACAGGCTGGGAATTCCCAGTCCTGTTCAGTGAGAAGCCAGCAGCTGAAGAATGAATGCAGGGTTTAGGCGGGGGGTGGCTGGGGCAGGCTCAGCTGCTGTGGGCAGGGCTGGCTGAGCTCGAGCCCTCGGGCAGGGACACGGGTCCCAAGCACCCAGCACCCCTCACATGAGGGGTCCAGCAGGGATCCCACTGTCCTTATTACACATTTGTATTCTCCCTTCCCTGCTCCCAAGCTCTGCAGACACATTTCTCTCTTCTTTTCCAGTACTCCCCCCTGCTGAAGAAACTCTACTGTCAGATCGCCAAGACATGCCCCATCCAGATCAAGGTGTCCACCCCGCCGCCCCCGGGCACCATCATCCGGGCCATGCCCGTCTACAAGAAGGCCGAGCACGTCACGGAGGTGGTGAAACGCTGCCCCAACCACGAGCTGGGCCGAGACTTCAACGACGGTGAGCGCTGGCATCGCCCCCGTGGGGAGCAGCCCCAGCCCTGGCGGGCAGGCCCCAAAACCGGGTGGCCACACGGCATCGCCAGGCCCCGGGACCTGGGTAACTGGGAGCTGGGTAACTGGGACCAGCACAAACCCCCCCAGTCCGGGCTTGTTCGCCGTGTTTCTGCACCAGGATGGGGGCCCCTAGGTCTGGGGGGGTTGCTGCAGCTCTCACACGGTTCCTCTGACTCCAGCACTTGCCTTGCAGGCCAGTCAGCCCCAGCCAGCCACCTCATCCGGGTGGAGGGCAACAACCTCTCCCAGTACGTGGACGACCCCGTGACGGGACGGCAGAGCGTGATGGTGCCCTACGAGCCCCCGCAGGTACCCCGCCGACCCCGGGGGTGGTGTCTGTGCCGGGGGCTGAACCCAAGTAGCACCCCAAGGGCTCCTCTGCTCGCCCTGCAAAGGCTCTGGGGGCACAGCCCTGCCCAGAGGGCTGCCCCCCGGCTCCCTGCTCAGTGTCCGCTCCCCTCTCCCGGGCAGGTGGGCACCGAGTTCACCACCATCCTGTACAACTTCATGTGCAACAGCAGCTGCGTGGGAGGAATGAACAGGAGACCCATCCTCATCATCATCACCCTGGAGATGAGAGAGTAAGTGGCTGTCCCTGCACTGTCCCTGCTGCCATGGGGGAGAGGCTGCTTTCTGCCAGCTAGGAAGAGGGCGGGTGGCAGGGAGGGACCCAGCACCATGCTGGTTTCTCCCCGTGCAGCTGAAGCCTTCCTCTTGGGTTCTCTCTCCTCCCAGTGGCCAGGTCCTAGGAAGGAGATCGTTTGAGGGACGGATCTGTGCCTGTCCGGGCAGGGACCGGAAAGCTGATGAAGATCATTACCGAGAGCAGCAAGCCCTGAACGAGAGCGCAGCTAAAAACGGCAACGCCAACAAACGCAGTGAGTCCCTTTTTCGGGACAGGGAGGGTGGCTCAGGGCTCTGCTCTTTCACAGTCCCAAGCTCCTAGATGCTTCTGAGAGCTGCAGATGCTTCTGCCTTAGAACCTTTACCGTTACAACCAAAATCACCATGCTCCAGAAGTTCTGGCCCAAAACTGCATTGGGGCATGCTGCTTTGATCCTTCTCAACTAAATTTCAAATCCCAGAAGTAGGACCTATTCCCTCTTCCCACCAGAGTGCAATGACATCAGTGCAGAGCTTTCCTGTCCAGATATATTTGTTCTTTGCTATTTGTTCTTTGCTATTATTATTTTAAAGGGACATCTTCAGTGAGAGAACACAGGTAAACAGCAAGCACCTTGCATGGCTTGAGCCTAAATGCTGCAGGGAACCAAGGTGTTTTCAGCTGTATTTGCTCTCCCAAGGACAGCCTACAAATGCCCAGGAGAATGGAAAGGAGGGAAAAGGGGAAATTTCATCAAAAACACACACAAAAATATCCTAAAGCCACAAGCCCCGAATGAGAGCACACATCTGGCATGTGTCAAGCTAATTCTCTCAGAAGTGGTTATTTCACTCTTCTCAGTGAAGGCTTGCAAGCACTGCAGGACATTGCTCTGCTCCTGCCCCACGGCTGCAGGCTGCACAACCCCACCGTGTGCCTGGAGGACAGAGCTGTTCCCCCAGCCAGACCTCACTTTCGTTTTCTACTAACATTTTTCCTCCTCTTTCCTTTCCAGCATTCAAACAGAGCCCCCAGGGGATCCCAGCACTGGGGACGGGCATTAAGAAACGGAGACACGGGGAGGAGGAGATGTATTACGTGCCTGTAAGTGTCGGGGAGCCGCAGTGGGGAGCAGCTGCCTCTGAGGGAAACCCCTTCGGGATGCAGCCTCAGGAAGGATGGGGCTGCAGGGCTGCCACGTGCCAGCACGGGGGGTTAAGCAGAGAGAGCTGGAGGACATAAACATCTGTAAATACCTGCGTGTGGGAGTCGTGGGCCCCAGAGTAGTCCCTGGTTGTGGCGACACTGTGCCTGCGTGGCTGGGTGGAAAAAGGGTCCACGAGGAAGGTGGCCAGGTGAGACCTGGGCTTGTTCCGTTCTCCAGGTGCGGGGCCGGGAGAACTTCGAGATCCTGATGAAGATAAAGGAGAGCCTGGAGCTGGTGGAGCTGGTCCCGCAGCAGCTGGTGGACTCCTACCGGCAGCAGCAGCAGCAGCTCTTGCAGAGGCAGTAAGTGCCAGCATGGCTCCGCAGTGGGCAGCACGGCGCAGGGAGGCTGTGGGGCTGCCCTGGCTCGGCCGTGAGGCTGGGGGAAGCCCTCGAGCAGCCCCCAAACCATCACAGAAAGCCTGGTCAGCCCACAGGGAGGTCTGGGGCGAGGCTGGCTGGCTTCTCGCCTCCCTGCTGAACGCTCACCCCTGCCTTCTTTTTCCTGAGCAGGAGCCAGCTGCAGACGCCTTCGTCCTACGGTCCTGTCCTCTCCCCTATGAACAAGGTCCATGGAGGAGGAATCAACAAGCTGCCCTCCGTCAACCAGCTGGTGGGGCAGCCCCCGCAGCACAGCTCCAGCTCAGCGCCCAGCCTGGGGCCCATGGGTAAGGTCCCCCCCGTGCCCCAAGCTGCAGGGCCGGCAGCTGAAAGGCGCGATGGAGAGACGGCGCTCCCCGCTCGTGGAGGCCCTGCCTGCCCAGCAGGCAGCAGGCTCCTCGAGGAGGACAGGGTTGTTCTAAGTGCGTGCGTTACGTCTAATTGATCTGTCTGTTGCGTTGACATGGCTGCTGCCTAGGACCCGGAATGCTAAACAGCCACCCCATGCAACCCAACGGAGAAATGAACGGGGGTCACTCGTCCCAGTCCATGGTTTCGGGATCACACTGCACCCCTCCTCCACCCTACAACCCCGATCCCAGCCTCGTCAGGTAGGAGAGGCATCTGATGCCCGTTCTGTGTTGTCCTCTGATGTTTCTTGCTGTTGTCCCTTACTCTAACCTTCGGATCTGTCTAGCAACTGGTCAACTGGCCACTGGTTCCAACTGAGAAATCACTGCTCATGAAATCATTAGTCCATTCTTCTCATCTCAGAAATCAAAGCCCAGCTACCTACTAGTTAGAAACACCTCTTGCCCTCGTAGACCTCTGGTAATCCATCCTTGGTCAATTAAAAATCAAGTCCACCTGAACAAGAATCTTTTCCCGCACGTCAGACTGCCACGTAGCTTTGTGAGCTTCCCCTTCCTTCTCAGTGACATCTGGAACTCAGTCCACATGGTTTATTTCCATGAGGAATACGCTAATGGGTCTGCAGTCACTTTGTAATGTTCATCTTTAAAAAGGACATAGATGTTTCACCAGACATCCTACCAGGGTTGGGGAGCCTGTACAGCCAGTCCCCAGTTGCACAGCCGCAGCCCAGCGCTATGTGCATAGCCCCCCTGCACCAGGCATGCCCCCCTCTCCCTCCTCAACTAGCTCAAGCTCCCTCCAGTTATTCAGTGTAGGTTATTCAGCTGAAGCCTCTGAAGATGAGGAGAGGGAAAAAGAAAAAGAGAGTAATATTTAGAACGAACATAGTCCCATTCTTCATTTTGACATTAATGGAAATTTAGGTCATGCTTTAGACTGCAACAGCCAGAGAAAAAAAAAAAAAAAAGTCAGGCCAAGCATTCAGAGCATCCCCAAGCAAGTTCCCTCCTACGCTCATTTGCCCACATCCCATCTGTACTGCAGGGGTTTGGAAGTGTTGCCAGGGCTGGAGGCAGCAGCAGCTCGCTGCAGTCTCCTCCTGCCTTTTCAATGAGCTGAACACGGTTTGCCACTACAGTGACGGTTGAGAGCACAGCTTATATTCGTGAGAAGTTAATGCCACTTTATTTTCCAAATTTTTTCTGCAGTTTTTTAACAGGATTGGGGTGTCCAAACTGCATCGACTATTTCACCTCACAAGGGTTACAGAATATTTACCATCTGCAGAACCTATCCATAGAGGTAAATGCTTTGGGAAGATCTGTTCTTACCACTTGTTTCTATCAGCTGTTGATCTTAAAAGCAAGGACAAAACTGTTTTAAAGGAAAGGAAAAACTGTGCACCAACCTGTTACGGAATTATGCTCCCCATGATTTATGTTTTTCATTTATTCATCCCTTCTAGTCCTTCAGCTTTAGCAGTAGTTCAGCTGTTGGTAGCAACCACAATTGTCTGTCCATTGTTGTTGTTTTTTTTTTTCCAGACTGTCAGAAACCAGGTCTGACAAGCTCACAGGCTAATGGGGAGAAACAAATCAGTAACTCAGTGCACTTGTTCTTTCTGGGACATCTGAAAAGAGCTAAATAATCCCGAAACCAGACCTCAAGTAGGTTTTGAAAGGAAAGCTGAGGTATTCAGCAAAATAACCCAAAGCCCACTGAATCAGCAGAAACACTTCCATTGGATTTTAACGTGTTTTAAATCAGACCCTAAGATCTGATCTGAAGTCTTCCCCTGTTAACACGTAATACAAAAGCAGGTGGAGTCAAATGCAGGGTAGCTGTGTTGTGGGAACAATTGTTTCAGCCTTGGAATGAAATAGCACAGGTCAGGCAAGAGCTGGAATGAAAAGAGGGATACCTGTGTTAGCTGCACCTGCTCTGTGTGTCAGCCCTCCACTGCTGGGAGGAGAGGAGCTGGCTCCTGCAGTTCTTGGTTAAAGCACAGCCTCTGGGTGACGATACTGAGGCTGCTGAGCCTAGGACAGTGTCTAGGCAGGGACTTCCCCATCTGTCAGGGTAACGAGAAGAAAATACTTAAACCCGTGGAGCCATAGTGAGCCCTGTAAATCCTTTTCAGTATTTTGGCCAAGGCAAAGCTTCTGCCCTGATACCGTTTTGCCCCCAAGTGGTTTGTTTGTAGTAGTAATCTTCCACCCAGCAGCTACAGTGCAGTAAGGGACCACATTTTGGTGATGCAGCTGCTGAAGACACAATGATTTTTCATTGGTAGCTGCGGCCAGTTGCATAATCCTAGCCTGGTTTTGGACCATTCTCTGAACTAACGCTGTTATTACCTGTGAGCTGTCAAAAGAAACGTTTGGTATGGCCAAAACTTGGTATCAGGTTGCTGAGCTGTCTGTCCAAGTTGCCTTGTGTAATTACTAATTGCATACTCGCTGTCCTCTCCAGTTAACATTCACACGGGTCTCTGTTTGGCATTAACGCGGCGCTCTGGCTGCTCTCCACTACCGGGGGATTTGTGGTGGTGCAGCCCCCGTTGCTATAAGATCGAACTCTCAGCATTACGCCCACAGCCTGTAACGCCTGTTAAAGCCCCCTACTGCCTGCACCAGAGGCAGATATGACACAGGAGGGGCCCAGCCCAGCCCCCAGCCCCCAGCAGGGGTTTTCAGGGAATGCACCAAATCCCACAGAGCCACCAAAGCCCACATGCGGTGGCTACCTGATGCCACCCTGGCCTCCTGGTCCGGGACCCGAGGAGAAGTGGGGATGGGCAGGCAGGCTACTGGGTCCTTGCCCCGCAAGCAGACAACGTGCTGCTCCACGTGCTGCTCTGCCATCTGCATCCAGGGGGATTCCTCCCATTTTCACTGTAACTTGATGTGAAACAGTGAACTTACAGCACCACCCCCTTGTCCCCAGATACAAAGATACTCAGAACTGAAAGTTAGCAAAAAAATGTGAGTGGTCAGCTGGCAGTCGGTTACAAGCGAGAAGATGCCCCTGGTAGAAGCACCCCTGGGCTCAGTGCTGTGGCATGGGGAGGGCCAGGACCAGGACCTCGTGCTCGGTCCTGGTGGCCATGTCCCCTGTGAGCCACGAGCTGTGGTCCCGGGGCTCCTTCCCGGCAGTGCTCGCATCTCTGCCTCCCGCGGGATGTGCTTCAGAATCCTTGTTCTTCCAGGATCTCGGAGCACTGAAGATCCCGGAGCAGTACAGGATGATCATCTGGAGAGGTCTTCAGGAACTCAAGCAGAGCCACGACTACGGGGCCCAGCAGCTCATCCGCTCCAGCAGCAACGCCTCCACCATCTCCATCGGCAGCTCCGGCGAGCTGCAGCGGCAGCGCGTGATGGAGGCCGTGCACTTCCGCGTGCGCCACACCATCACCATCCCCAACCGCGGCGGCGCCGACGAGTGGGCGGACTTTGGCTTTGACCTCCCAGACTGCAAGTCCCGCAAACAGTCCATAAAAGAGGAGTTCACGGAGGGAGAGATCAACTGAGGGTCTCCGGGGGGCGGCAGTAGGAGACCGGACACAGAGTTAAAGGAACAGGTGGGGGGGAACCAAACCCCATATGAAAAATGGGAGAACACTTTCGGCCGTGAGCGTCTGTGTAATTTTGCTGGACAGATGGGAACTCTAAGCCGTGTGAGAAGGCACGGCCCTGATCCGTTCTCTAGGGACCTTTCCCAGAGAGGAAATCCCATCGGGTTTGTCAGAGGACCGAGGGAGAAGAGGGTGGCTGAGACAACTGATGAAATGGAGGACAGACTGACTGCACGTGGCAGAGGAGTCACCTGCTGGCTCACGACACTGTTTTGTATTTTACTGGAAGATCCTTGCATCAAACAGATGCAGCCTAGAGATAGCACATTTTCTGTTAGTGAGACTGGCCTTGCCTTCTGACTTATCCCTCTTCTGTGTTCTCAGTGGCGTCAAAAACCAACGGGTTCTTTATCATGGTAAGAATTGATTTAGCCCTTACCTGCTCCATTTTCTGTAAAAGTATCTGCCATTGACTGATGATACAAAGCATCAAAATCTGCTTTCCTGATGGACTGCCAAAAAGCATCTGTTTCATTCAGCTCCTTGTAGAGCAGGAACCAACCCGTTTGTCAGTTCCAGATGTGTTCATGTACTTAAATATTTGTGTATATAAACAGAACAAAGTGTACATACAGTATACTCATTGTGCCGCAAGGATAAGAAAAGATTTATTTTCATGTAAGCTATAAAAATTGATACTTACTCCTGAAACAATACGGTGTCAAGTAAATTAATTTCATGTTCTAGCATGTAAACATGCAGAAAATCATGTCTCAAGCCTTATCTATTCAGAATTCAGATGTGTGTTTTCCCTCCTCTGAATATCTATCACACAATTGCAGAGGGGGCAGGCCTGTGAATTCCCCTCAGAAGGCAGAGCTCTGCACAATTACCCTGCACCGTAGGGGGAGTTTGGAGGCAGATTAATGAGGTAGGTGTAAATTTGATCCTACCTTGGAGCGAGGAGACGGACTAAAGCAACCACGTGAGGTCTTTCCAGTTCTCTTTGCTGTTTCTGGTCATTTCTTTCCAGGCGTATGTAATTTGTCTGTTGATTCAGGCTGAAAAAAGCTCTGCAGAAAGCAATGACAGGAGCGAATGCGCTCCCTTCCCTCCCTCCTCTTACTAGCAAGCCGGTGCTGGACGTTTCGAGAGGTGAGATCTCCCAACACGTCCCCACGAGGCACAGCACCAAGGCTGAGGTTCAGGATGCACAGAGGGAGGGAAGACAATGAACTTGGGCAGCGCTGGGGAGCCCAGGTGGGAACGCTGCTGCCCGGCACCTTCCCGCTGCGGTGTCTCATCCCCTGCCCTGTCCCTGGGCTGGAGATCACCGAGGGCAGACCCGCAGCTATGCCCCAGAGCTGGCACCAGTCGGTGCAGCAGCAGCATCCCTGCCATCCCTCTGCCACCTTCCTCTGGGTGCCCAGGGCAGGGGGCTGCCACCTCTCCCCCATCCCACCCGGCCCCATGCTGCTGCCCCGGGAGCGGCAGGGATGCGTGCACCTCTTCTGAGCCCTGCACCCCCATACACTACACCCAGGGGGATCCCGACCCCACTTTGGTCTCACTGAAATGTGAACGTGTCCTGAAGCAACAGCTGATTAAAGCACTTTAATGCTTTAAAGGTTTGGAAACAATCAGTCATGTCTTCAAAGTTAACTAAGGCTTCTTCAGCAGTATTAACTGATACACTCCGAACATGTTACGAGTGGTAATTTTTGTAATGTTATCTTTGGAAAACGTGTTATTTTTATAGCTGTGGTTCCTTTTTTTTTTTTTTTTTGTAACACAATAAAAACATGTCTGAATTACAACACCTGGTAACCAAAGTCTTGCTTGTATTGTATCGAAAATGTTCTCATAATACTGCTAAATCATGAACCATGACGTTTAAGGACCTGCATTTTTTCTTGCTTCATCAAACAACCATAAAGCTACAAAGACACAAGAACAAGAACAAAGAACAAGAACACCTGGCAAGGCAAGAGTGCCATGGAAAGGCCATTTGCTCCCCCAGGCAGCAGGACAGCAGCTTGCTCTGTGGATGGCCGCAGCCTTACCCTGCTTTGCAGAGCTCTCTCAGCCATGCTGCTTTCCACTCCTAACGCTCCCCAAAAGGAAGCAAATGTCTCAGAACGATCACATCTGCACAGGGCCTGCCTTAAAACACCACCAAAATGAGAATACCACCCTTGCTGTTAATAAGTTGCGACTGAAAGAGGTAAATGTCTGCTTCGTTGTGGGTGTAGGTCGTTCCCCCCTCCCAGTAAATGACTAGAAAAGAGAGCACGAAATTAGTAACAATCTTTATCATTAAGACATCGCTTTTCCAAGTTTGAAAAATTACACCATTAAAAACAATTTCCACAAGAGAGTTGTCTTTAGTTGTAACTGTCATCGCTCTAGTTTTAGTAATATATACTGCATATATTGGAATCGGAAATTAATTAACTAAAGAATCTTCCAAGGAGGGATGTCTATAAACACTCAAGGCAAAACTGTTATTTTAATACAATAAAAAAACTTTCAAAAGGTTTTGAAAACCGACATGTGAGAAATAAACAGCAGCCAAATCTATACACCAGCAACAAGCTCAACAGTAAAACAGAGTAAAAAGGTAGAAATAACCTGGTTTAAAAGCAGACTTGCCTCTTGTTGAAGGCACTATCCTTTTCTGTGCTGTATACTCCCAGTCTTCTAGACTGTAAAAAAATATCTTTAAGATATGCAGAGTGCCCTTCGTGCACTCAAAGAAAGTGATTATTAGTTCATTTTTGCTACTAAAATATTAACGTATGTGCTTGCACTTAGGCACAGAAAACAAAAGCCTCCAGCCAGCTCCCCTGCCTTGCAGCAGGCGCTGAGGAACCCATGCAATGGACACGTCTCAGTCACAGCTGTTGTACAGGGTCCCTGCACAATTCACAGATTGCATTCGGATTTTTTTTTTCTTTAAATAACACAGTGCTTATTATCAAAATGCCCAGTGTGTTGCTTCTCTACGAAATAGTCTTAGTTTACAACCTTAGTACGAAGTTTCTCACCTCTCTTAAATCAGCACTGTTGGAGGTTTCCCTCCCCATTTTTTTCACTTCTCTCCACTATCCCCCAAGAAAGTTAGACCCTAACTTCTCAGCTAGGCTTTTGCAATCTATAGCATAGATTTAGAATACCTGGTAAAAGCAACAAACAAAACAATAAATACAAGGCCCGGGGCTGAGCTCAGCACAGCAGTCACACTCCAGCACACACCGATAGGAAGCGCACGGCCCAGCCGGGTGCTCTCCCTCCCTCCCCTGTGAGCACGGCATCACCTGCACAAAAAGCTGCCACAAAGCTGCCAGAGCTCGGTGCCCACTGTGGCAGGGGGCAGTTTATGGCCCCTCACCATGTCCTGAGGAGCACTGGATGTGCTACAAGGCATCCGCAGCAGCGCTAAGCACTTCTAGTTTGAATATGCTTCTGTGCTCTGGGCATTTCCAGTGGAAACGCAAGTCTAAGGTGACAGTGGAGACATCACCAGGTGAAAAGACTTCACCATAGCGCAGCTTAAAGGTTATCCTTCACCTCAGAAATCAGCAGCGTGAGTCACATTATCTCAGTCTTGACCACAGCCGAATCCATTGCTTCATTGCGCAGGTCAACAGCGGATCCATTTCTCCAGGACTGCTCGGCTGCTGCAGCCACCTGGACGGCCCAGAGGAACTGCTCTTTGGTTATCGCGGGAGGCTCTTTGCCTGCAGGGACAGAACGGAAAAATTCATCCCCCTCTTTCCTGTTCCTGAGACTCAAATCCTGTATTTTTGTCGCTGAGGTCAACAGAACGGAACTGTTTCATTCCATAAGGACAAGCAGGATTTTGGATGAGGCTCTCCCACGCTATTGCAAACGGCTGCTTCCCTCGTAAAAGACATTAAGGTCCCACACAGCGTTTCCTCCCCACTTTCATTTATTCTTGGAACACAAGTTTTCAGATCAACACTCCTTCCCTCGCCCATCTCACTGACTCAGAAGTGAGAAAAGCCCCTGTACTGCAGCAGCACACCCCTATAATGCAGCCGACCCGTTCAGTTTCAGTCCCTGAAACAAGAATTGCTGTTTGCTCATCCATCGAGCTGCCACCTCCTCCTGCAGCTGTCAGGACAGCAGGCCTGCATGCAAAAGCCTGGGTTTGCTTACAGGGAGCTCTCTGACCACTGCACAATGCTGGATTAAACCTAACCATGATGAATCTCACTCCTGATTTTCACATCTACGCATATTTTTTTCTGGGGATTTCAGACACAAACACCAAATCGCAGTTGCTACTGGAACAACGTCCCAGTGAAGTTTTCACTCAAAGTGAATCCAAAGCAATATTAGCCAATAATGCAAGCTTTCATCTTACCTTTCAGGGTTCTCAGAAAGTGTCGGAAGAGCCCCCGGTGTGCCTCCCTGTAACGATCAGCTTGGGTCTGTGTACATATGGACACAGAAGTTCCGTGCTCTGTAATCCCCAGGGGATTCTGGTTATCTACCCGTAACGTTCCTCGAGAACCGTGAACCTGCAGGGAAAGCAAAAAGTTAGAAGAACGAGGTTTTCAACTCACTGTCCGTTTGATCTTAAACCTGGCTAGTGTAAAAAAGTGCAGGTTTGTATGACCAAGTAAAAAGCAGCTGCTGATTTTTGGAGTTGACAGGTGATAATGCCTCTGATTTTACACTTCTTTTCCCCTTTAATGTCTTTTATACTTGCAAGGCTTTAGCCCTTGCTGCAGTCCTAGACACACCCTGGGAAGACAACGACAAGATACAGAACAACACCGCAGCCTCGAGAGCTGACATCAATTCCTGCTCTAGCATGACCGCGTGCAGCTAATAACCCCAGCAGAATAACATACAGGAGGCAGAATCTGGGTACCAAAAGAGAAAGCAGACTGTGAGTTAACCAAACACAAGCAGCTGCTGAGGTACAGAGGTGTTCTGTGACACGGGTCTGCGGGTGTATGCACGGGGCACAGCACATGCAGCCCCAGGCAAACATACACAGGGAAAACTTGTTCTAGCCTTTGGCGTCACGACAGACGTATCTTAAAAGCAAGAACGCACCTCTAGTCTCTGATCACAGCTTTTAGTGCAGTGCTGACTGATGTCCAAAGTAACAATTGCTCCGCTAGGAAATTTCATGCTGACTGCTACAGTGTCTGCGTCCTTCAAGCAGGCCATATCTGAGTGACAAAAAAGGCACTCGCTCACACCAGAACAGCAAACACTACTACGACACAGCGATTTTCTTCCTTTAAGAGGTGTTCAGAATACTTTCAAACAGGAAGCGAGGAGACAGCAAAGTGCTTTTGGGAGCATACGCCAGCTGGTTTACCTTCACCGTCACTTCTGGAGGAAAACTGCCAGGACTCCACTATCCAAGCCCACGGCTTTCCCTGCAGCTGACTTCACGTCTTCCTCCAAATGCATTTGCTTTTGCAACTTATCAGTACCAAGAATAAGCAACTTTCAGCACTTTGCTAGAAAGAGGCAGATTGTATAAATTCCTCTCCGGGGCATTTTGCTTGCTGCACTTTACAGATGACAGCATTGCGTACCTTACCTCCTGATAGCAGCAAGCCAATGTTGGCAGCGGCTGACATTAATTAAAGCTTTAAATTTCCATTAAAAAACTGGAAGTTAATTTAAATTTGTCTGGTAACCCAGGGAGTGTTGGTCAATCCAGCATAAATTGACTTTTTTAACTGTGTTGAGCTCAGCAGGAAAGCACTGGAGAAAAATTCAAGCAGAGAACTGAGAATACTGCGATAACGTTTGTGTAACCGTAAGGCTTTGCTGATTATTTTCTGTATTCTTGTTTTCAAGTGGCGAACCATCAAAGTTCAGCAACAGTTCTACAGCAACTATTTCACATCAGTGGGAAAGAGACAATTCTGAAACATTTGGTAAATATTCTGTCTAAAATGATTTTTTTTTTTAGGAACTTGCTTCCTACTTCACTGACTATTTTTGTGGCAGTTCTATCATGGAACAATCACAGCATGGCTACCATGCTCTTGTAACAGTTCTTCCTAATTTTAGTACTGAAGTAACTGAGAAGCCCAGAGGTACACAATAAACTATCAAAATATTTGGTCTTACCTGTGCAGAACGCATGCCCCAGTGAAAATATCGTGTCTGGTGCACTCTCTCCCAACAACAAACTGACAATATCTATATCGTGCACAGCAGCATTATAAAAAATTCCACCTGGAAGAAGCAAAACTGGGCATTAAGGCCTTCACACCGAAAACCCATGGCTAATGAACGTTTCTGAACTGCACTGGGATTGATATTAAAGCCACCTACATCCCAGAAGCCAATACTAAGGGCAAATAGCAGTATGCAGCTGAAATCAATTCTAGTAAAGAAAATACTCTTCCAGAGAAAGAGACACGCACCTTACAGCCACACAGACCTAAGGAACCTTCCGCCAGCACACAGGACAAGACCCGTTTCCAGCCCTGTCAGATGAACGAGCCGCGCAGTACCTGACGTTTTGAGGAAGCCCAGGGAAGCCGCCGGGTACACGCTGCTGGTCGTCGCTATCCGGTGGATCCTCCCCAGGGCCTGGCAGCCACGCACCTTCTTGCAGAGGAACTGCAGCGCGGGGTCGAAACGCCTGCAGAGGGGAACAAGCAATGTGGAACACTGCTGGGGCACAGCAAGGTCGCTGGGCCCCTCTGCCAGCGCGGCGCAAGAGGCCAACTTGAACACAGACAGCGGCAAGCGTGCGATGCCTGAACCTCACCAGACTGGCAGGGTGACAACCCGCTTTCTAATCTCAGCCCCTCAGTATGTATTAATTCTGCTTCTGGCAAACGAGCCTCATTTCTGTACTTTGGGAGACTTAGGCTAACAATTTTATGGAAGAAATTAAACTCTGGGGACTGAAAGCCCCCGGCAAGTCCAGCAAGTTACCTACAGTTCTTCTCAGAGCCCTACTTACAGGTTTAAATTCAGTTGAGTGTTGACCAAAACCTCAGTTCAGATTCAACCTTATGGCTGGGGAACAGACCTGCACACGTAGCACTCAAATGGAAAAGGCAAATGTTAGGGCAAGCATTTTGTGTAATTATGCATTAGTATATATAATATACTAATATATATTTATTAGCATATATATACATAATATGTGTCTCTCTCCAAGTAAGTTTTGTTTGCAATGAGATTAACTGCTCTCTAGAGAGAAGCACCAGGCAATCATAGTTGTTTACTAACAACCCACATCCACACTCACCAGAGGGTGTTAAATCCTGAGCATAAGTTTAAAGCAGCATTCCTGCCTCGTAGCAGAGCTCCCTGAATCCCGTAAGTTTAACAGTGCAGAAATTAATTGAAATTAATCTACTTTCCTTCTCTTTCAATTACTTAATCTTAAGGGTCCAGATGTAAAGTCACAAGTGGAAATATCACTTTATCAAGATTAATAGGTCTATTTCCACCAGATAGGCCAATAATTCTAACACCAACCAGAGGCTTCACAGCCTTGGAGTTTGCTGCGAGTGGCAAGTTGAAGTAATGGATGAGCTCAATGTCTCCCTGAAGATGGTGCTCTAAAAGGAACTGAAAAGGTTGCTGGAAGGTTCTTAAGAGTTACTCTAAACTTTCACTGTTATTTGCTAGCACAGGTACTTCAGTTTCAAGGGATCAACGTTCTTCAAGTCGGTACAGTTAGAGATCTAATTAACAAATCAGTGAAAATTGGAAAAAGTTACAAAAAGAGATCAGTTTTCGGTATTACAAAGGCACATTCAAACTTTGAAAGAGTCTTTTTCTGCGCTATTGTGAAGATCACAGCTAATGCCTTCTTCCCATGTTATTTCTAGTGTAGTGCAGCAGAGCTGTCAAACAGGAAGAAAGGACACCCTCAGAAGTTTCATGAAGAAGTCTACTTCATGAGCGAAGTTTAATGCCACAGCGTTCCTACGACGAACAGGGTTGTAAACCAAATGCTTTCCAACAGAGCAATAACAAACAGATCTCAGTAGCTGTATGCTTAATAAAACCACAGAGCTGCCTGACCTGGTGGTTGTATGTGCATAAAAAACTACAAAAGAAGATCCTGTTTTCCCTAAAACCACGGAGCAAGGAGTTGTCTCAGAGAATGGCACAGCATCACCAGAATGTTTCCTCCTCTGAAGCTCAAACACAAGCTGTAGCATTTGCAAAACCCTGAAGGGACTGATGAAATCTGGACCCCCAATTACCATTGTCTATTCTAAAAATTAAAATTGAGCTTTCATGCCTTTAAAGCTTTGCTGTTTGACTATCATTCCACTAGCTTTTATTTTAATCTCATGACAGCTAAGATTTTATCTCCATTAAGCATAAAGAATTAATCCAAGCCAATTAACTCTCAGATAATAAGCAATGCTCAATAGGCAGCAGCAAAACTAAATGTATCTGAGGACGAATAAAGGACAGCTTGAGAAATCAATGCTACTTTCAGACATGAGCTTCTTAATGAGTACAAATCCTAAAGAAAAATCAGGTCTTACTTGTAGAATCCACAAACCAACGGTCTTCCACATCTGTTGGCTTCATCGAAGCACGTCTCTGCTGTCTGCCTGTCAAAACTGGGAAGCCTCTCACAAAATACACCTTTTCCTGTGCAAAAGGTCACAGAACACAGAATTAAAGGCAGAACAGTCTGCACTACACATTTTCATCTTGAAATATTGTACATGTTGTTACTGTTACATTCTAGAAAATCCGTTTCATGAATCCAGTGCTTCCTATCTGTTGATGCCAATAATTTCCTTTTTGCTGCCAGCTGCGATCACTTTATTAGCTAGTCACAAGCCACAAGAAGCACGGCTGTTAAGCAGCTTTCTTTTGATTCCCAGCTGTATTTCTAGGACTGGGCTTTCTGGGTGAGAAAGGTATAGTACAGACCCCACTGGTGTTCAAGCCATCAATGTGAGTGCAGGAGGTAGCAGTTAGTAGGCTGACTTCTCTTCAACTGCAAAATTAGTTTGCACAACTCAAGGGACACTGCTGAAATGAGAAAGCAGTAATTTTTACTATTTTTTTTTTAATTTTAATTAAGGAGCTGCTGCAGTTGCTATGAAATTAGGAGTGGAGGAGACAGACAAGTAAGGCAAATGTAAAGATCCTCCCAGTTTTGCTGAGCTTTGCAGCAACGGTATGGAGTCTGCAGCTGAGAATGGAAACAGGAGCTCTACAGCCCTGATCCAGACACTGAGCTCTCTTACACAGCCATCACAAGCAGAAAGTTTGGATGATTTCCTTTAAATCTTACATCAAAAGATAAACTTTTTATTCTGCAAGCATTTAGCAAGCACACAAGGCCTCCTTCAGTGTGCGTTACCACTACAGATAAAAGCTGAGTTTGCAGCAGCTCCTCTTACCAGCTCGCAGAGCATCTATCACAACCTCAGAAGCTTCTTCAGGCGGTGAACAAACGATGACTCCAGAAACTCTGCAAAAGTCAAAAGAAAGTTCTTCAGTGAAGACAACATTTAGAGGAACAGTCAGTGCCTCCTTCCAACTACAGCTGTTTTTATGCTAGCTTTAACTTCTGAGGATGAATTTTAAACAGGCATAAAACCCCATCACTCTGGAAGAGCATATTATGTTACAGAAGGAACTCAGTACCCACTAGCAGGGATGCAGACTGTAGGGCACTGATGCTCAGAAGTGACAGCAGTACAGTAATGAGAGTTTTAACCTGATCTCTTAATTCAAGATCAGTAACCGCATTAGGTTTTCTCAAAAACCTGTTGTTAAAGTACACAATCCCTTAGCTAAAATGAAAACCTGTACAATGAACCTGCACCTTAAAGGGGAAAGCTTTTCAAGTGTCTCCACGACTACTTGCATTCTGCTGGTTAAAACATGCAGTGAAACCTAAAACCATTTACGAGGCAGAGCTGTTGAAGAGACAGGTACATCTTAGCTTATTTTCATTTTTTAAATTTCTAATATCAAGCCCATCTTTTTTTAAAAAAAGTCTGCCTTTCAGTTTTGCAATGACATTTAAAACACTCATTTGAGAAGCGGCTGGTACCGCTGGTCGTTGAGCACGATGTCGGCGTCCTGCTGCCGCAGCACCCGCGTGCCGGCCAGGAACTCGGCGCTGAAGGCACGTTCCACCTCGTGCAGCCGGTCCTCCACGACGTACAGCAAGCAGCAGCCGTTTTCTTCCACTAAGCTTTGGAACAAGGCGTTATCGCCGAGCTCTGTGCCAAAGAGGGCGAGGCCGAGGCCACCAGCACCACAGCGTCCCAGCACCGCGCCGTCACGGGCCTGGGGCACGGCCGGGCTCCGGCTGCTCCTCTCAGCGGGCGCGGGTGCGATCCTCACGCGTAAGGCGGTGAAGGCTGAGGTGGACGGGGCTTGGTCTGGGGCCGTGGTGGATCCGATGGCACCGGGCAGCAGCGAGGGACCCCCGGCGGTGGTGGCGGCGAGGACGAGGGGCGGCTGGGCGAGCAGGGACGGGGCGTCAAGCTGCAGCGGCAGGCTGAGGTCAGGGCCTGCGGAGCTGGAGGGAGGAAAGGGGGAAAGTGAGGGGAGAGGGGAGAGGGCAGGGAAAGGGGAAGGTGAGGGGAGAGGTAAAGGGGAGGGTAAATGGGCAGGTGAGGGGAGAGGTGAGGGGAGAAAGGGACAGGTAAAGGGGAGAAGTAAGGGAGTAGGTGAGGGGACAGGTGAGGGGAGAGGTAAGGGGACAGGTAGAGGAGCAGGTGAGGGAACAGGTAGAGGGGAACGTGAGGGGAGAAGAGGGCATGTTAGGAGCCAGGTAAAGGGGTGAGAGGAGAAGTAACGGGGCAGGTGAGGGGACTCCCCCTGCGCCCTCCCTCGCCCCCCTCTGACTCGGATCACGAAGGGACCCATCCCCGGGGCAGCTCGGAGCGGAGCCCCCCGCCCCTCCCCGGTCCCCCCATGTCCCCCCTTGTCCCCCCGTGTCCCCCCCTCTCACAGCAGCAGCGGGGCGCGCTGCCGGGCCAGGCGGCGGTTGCGGTAGTGGCGGCCGGAGGCGAGGTGCTCGAGGATGCGGTCGCGGCGCACCCGCAGCGGGAGCTGGCAGGACGAGCACCACAGCGACTCGGCCGCCTCCCCCCCGCCGCCGCCGCCTCTCTCCGGCCGCTGCCGCTTGACGGCCAGCTCCGAGAACTCGGCGGCGTAGTCGTGCAGCGTCTTCTTCCTCCGCCCCATGGCGGCGGCTCCGGCCGCGGAAGCGGAAGGCGGTGCCGGGCACGGCGGGGAGGGGGCGGCCGACACCGGGCCCGACTCCCCGATGGGTTCCCCACACCACCGGGATGCGGCCGCGGAGCCCCCCTGGCCGTGGGGAGAGGAGTGGGCCCCCTCCCCCCGGCTGCCCCTCGCCCGCTGTCCCGGCACCAGCCACAGGGCGACGTCGCCGTCCCCGCCCGGTAGGGGCGGCCCGAATCCCCCCCCCCCCCGGGCCGTTGGGAGCCCCCCGGGGCCGCCGCCTGAGCCCCGCTGTCCCCGCAGGTGGCTGCCGCGACGCCCCGGGCTCCCCTGGTGCCCCCACGATGGAGTGGGACAGGAGGGCGACGAGTGTAGGGGTAGGGCCCGGGCCCGACCCCCGCGGGGGCGACCTGTGGTGTGTGAGCACCGTCGGTGAAAAGGTGAGGGGGAGCCCGGCCGCTGCCCCTTCCTTCCATCCCCGTCCATCCCCATTTATCCCCTTCCATCTCCTTCCATCCCCGTCCGTCCCCTCGGACGGCCTGGCTGTGTTATGGCCCCGTGTTCCCTAGGAACAGAGCCTGGCAGCGCTGAGGGAGGAGGTCGAGCAGCTCTCCAAGTACAAGGCGGAGTGCGCGCAGAAGGACGAGGTGATCTCCGGTCTGCTGAAGGAAACAGAAAGCCTGAAGAAGGAGCTGGAGCTGCTCAAGAGCGGTGGAGACGCGGAGCTGGTAACTGTCGGGGTGCTGAGGCTGCTCCCTGCCAAGCTGTCCTCCACTGTGGGTGGCAGGGAGGCAGGCTGCTCTTCAAGCTCAAATGTCCTGCAGGTAGGAGTGGTAGACAGGCAGGGATGTTTGGAAAAGTCACTGTGCCAGCGAGACCCCCGGGACGTGGGGATGCGATCTGTACTCCCCCCGTCGGGGCTCATCATCCCAACAGGGCGGGGAGCACAGGGCTTCAGCCCCAGTTCTGAAACTCCCTCTCTCCACACAAGGCTTTAGCACAGCTTCTTAAGTCCTTATTTCTTCTTTACAGTATGCAGAAATGGAACAAGACAGCTCAAATGAAGAAGCCACCGAAGAAGCCACCGAAGAAGCTGCTGAAGAAGCCGCCGAAGAACCCCCCGAAGAAGCTGCCGAAGAGGCCGCTGAAGAAGCCGTCGAAGAGGCCGCTGAAGAAGCACTCAGTGACACCAGCGCTCCAGGGCTCTTTCTGGAGCAGGCAGAAGGAGAGGAGACACTGATTGCCCAGCTCATTGCGTCCCAGGATGCCAACGAAGAACTCTGTGCAGAACTGAAAAATGCACGCGATGACTACGACCTAGCCACAGGTACCATGGGAGAAGGCATCCCCAGAACAGACTACTAGAGACCAAGGTTATCTTCTTGCAGTTCTGTTTCTCTTACCTAGAAAACAAATCTAGGTTAGTTTCTCATGAGGGTGAAACCACCTGCTTTCAACTGTTGCTTACAGAGTGAGTCAGAAATGCCATGTATTTTGAAACCACTTTCGCTCTCCCCTTAGAAGTACAAGAAAATTGTGCAGAAAGGCCTGACTGGTATTCTGGGGTGCTTGCTAGTGTTTCAGCCATCTGGCAAGCCCCTGTGCTTGTGTTACTGGCTCTGTTAGTCCTCAGAATTGCTTCTCCCTCACAGTGAATTGACATAAGTTTACTATATATCACAGCAAAGTACTATGAAATGCATTACAAACCAGTGTCATCATGGCTGTACATTAACTTCACCCACAGTCTGTTTGTGGATGGCAACAACAGCTCTGCTTCTGCTTACCTTAAAAAGACTCCATGAGGTCTCTGGCAGGAATTCTGTTTGCTTACAGTAGTACTCCAACGTTACAGGTGTCATGTGTTCCTTGCAACGACAACTGGAGATCCAAGAATCCCAGCTTCGGAAAACTGAATCTGAAAATGAAAGGCTTGAAAAGGAGCTCAGAGAGCGAGAAAGTCAGCTACAGGCCATGTCTGCCAAGGTACTACAGAGCCGAGTGGCCACAATCAGGAGAGCTGGCAGCAGGGAATTCAGTTTTTATGAAACATTTCCCTTCCTAATGAGACAGGAGTTGATTAGTGAACTACAAAACTAAAGTGTAAAATATTTTCCCTTAAGTTTTGCAGTCTGAGAGAAGAATGGAAACATGAAGAAATTATAGTGACAACAGAGAAGGAGAACTGCAGTCTTCGACAGGTGAATCTGGTGCAAGCCCAACATGCTTTTATGGAAAACTCTAGTGTCATCTGCTTCACTGTGCTTGTTTTAGGCTTGGAAGAGTGAATTTGCCCCATGAAAAAAACCCACACAGTGAAGTTATTTTGAAAATCTGACTTCTTGATTTTGCTTTACCACTCAATTTTTTCCTAATAGCAAACCTGCCCCTTTTAGCTATTCAAGTACTCAATACAGTGGTTTTGGAGAAAACTCCAAGTAGTAATAGTTAGCTGTACTGACAAGATTGTGAGTCTGTAGACTGTCCAGGAAATACAAGAAGCATTTGACCCAGATACTGGGGAGATGTGGCCAAGTCTGCTCACTTTCTTCCTCACTGTAGTGGCTTGATTTATGTATCTCCTCAGGTTGTCACAGAACAAGAATCCAAACTGGCTGAGCAGAACAAGCTGATCAGCGATCTGCAGGGTGCAGTCAGCCAGCTAGAGGCAGAGGCTCTGACCAGTCGATACCAGATCCACAAGCAGCAGCGTGCCCAGGAAGAGATGCAGAGCCAAGCTGAAACACTGCAGCACACGGAGCTGCAAACTAGAGTGGCACTCGAGTGCCTCACCAGCAGGGTAAATACAGCCTCTTTCACTTCAGATTCCTACCTCCCTGGTAAGAGATGCTTCAACCATTTCGAGCAGGGTCTGAAAGCTTAGAAACATTCCCAGGCAGAAGCACAGCAGGAGGCTCACTGGGGCACTGAAATCCTTTGCTCCCAGGGCTGATTTTCCTTTGCAGCTACAGGGCTGAAGGAGAAAGAAAATCAGCCCATTTGCTTGCCTGCTTTCTAGCACGCAGCCCATATTTCAATGACAAAGCACACTAGCCTCAAATACTGGAAGCCCTCAAGAAACAGTTTTGAATTCACAGCAGTTCTGTCACCAGATTTCTAGTATCTTCCTGACATGAAGTAATAGATACCACCTTAAAGCCATTTCCTGCAGGCATGCTCACTCTGGGCCTCACTCAAGGTTGCCACAATGAGCACAGCAGCCCAAAAAGGGTCTGGGTCCATCCAGAAACACATCATTAGCACAGTACGTGCAGTGAAGCCCAGTAAACCCGCCCAGTTTCACACGCACAGACTTCCCATTTCATCATCAACTCGTACTTTTTCTAAGTCTGACAGTGTGGTCTCTGTCCTAGTCAACTCCATGCAAGTGCCAAAGAATCATATATAAAGGCTTAACGCACCTCTTTTCTCTCCTCTTTTATCAAAAGTTTGAAAGATTTCGAAGCAAAATAATTCAGGCTACGTTTGGTACAGCAGGCAACAAGCCTCCCCAGGCAGAACTCACTGATGAGGAGGTGCTGGAGGCAATGCAGGTACGTAGCTCGCTGGAATTCTGCTCTCAGGAGCCCATGGGGAACTGGTAAGAGAGCACTACAGCACTGCTGTACACCCAGTGCTTTTCTACCCCTTTACATGTCTTTGATTTTCAGAAGATAATTAATGAGCGGATAGAGTTTCATCAGATGCTGAAACAAAAAGGTGTCAGGCTCCCATCTCTCTACAACATCGACACGGTTACTTCATCACCTACCAATTCTAAGGGTAGGAGGAAGAGTCCTGCAAGGTAGCTTCTCTTAATGCCTGCGAAATAGCCCTAGTGGTTAAGTCTCAACATGTCGCCAACATCAGGCTTCTGTTCATTTGTTTTCTGGTGACGATTTGATAGCAAATTAAACTTATTTTACTTGATTCAAGTTCTGTGGAATTCAGTTGTTTTCTAATTGCTGAAACCGATTAAACAGCATTTGTAAATCACTGGTCTGTAGAATTATTCTATTTCACAGGGAATTGTGAAGTACTACTTAGGACTGCTCAGATACAAGTAGCTTGAAAAAGTTACCACTGTGCCAAGTTTGTACAGTTACAGGACTGGAAAACTCAGCAATGCCCAAACAAGTGACAGTGACTGCAAGAACCGTTTTATTTTCCATTCAATATGCAACACGTTGACATATTTGACACAGTATCTGGAAGTTTTGTTAGAGCTCTACATTGTTTCTAATGGGGAAATAAAGTATATCCACGGGTCACCCTAGTTTATGGACAGCTCTACATTCATAGTTAGCAGCCAGGATGTAAAAATCACCCAGAGGCTGCAAAATTTAGAAAAACTTCATGTATTTTGGAAGGAGTCCTCAGCACTCTCCACACTGGAGTATGACTGAGTGCTCCACCAGCATCACTCCAGATAAAAACACTTACCTTCTGGGGAGGCGGGGAGCTCTAGTGGTGTCACTGTAAGCCAGTATTGTCCCTCTGAACAAAACTGAAGGTCATAAGCAAGAACAAATTCAGATCTTGACCAACAGCTAAGTTGATGAGTGCACAACAAATACACCATGACTGGTACTTCCACATGGCTGGATTATGGCTCTAAAACACCCTGGGGAACACAAGCCCCTGCAGTCATTAACTGACTTTACTTAAAAATGAAAGCTGTGTTAAATGTGTTAACACGGAAAAAAACATCAGAGTAAAACTCATTGCTCAAGTTCTGGCAGTGGTTAGGTTGAAGATTTTTAAAATAGGCAGAATTTTCAGTTTCATGGTTACTCCAGATATAAAACTATGCAAAATGAGATGTTAGCTAAGTACTTCTGCATCCTGTCTTCAGAACTGGCACGCAGAACGTAACTCAGTGTCAGTGCTGTCACCTACTGGACTTCTCAGTTCAGCTACTAAAATAATCCAGGTGAAACATACCGGGAAGAAATATTTACCTTGCAGAGAAATATGACTGTGTTCATTTTACAAACCGCTATGGTTTTGTAATGATTCTCCTTACACGTTTGTACATTCTGACTTGAATACGTTCACTACTTTTCTGTTTGCATTTGATGATGATCTTGTCTCCACCTAGTCAGAAAACTGATGACTTCCTATTAAGGCTGAGAGAATGCAACACTCCTTATCACGACTTGATCAAACTTTTAAGTTTTTACACACCCAGGCAGGACACACTCCATCTTTTCTTTAAAACAAACAATCTCACTGCGTGCAAGTTGCATTATTGAATATGGAAAAAAAAAAAAAGAACAATTTTCTTAGCTTTGACAGCTGCTAGCGTATTACAGTCAGAAGAGAAGAAACTGTGGTTAGGTCAGTTTTTGAAGGATAAAGTACTTTCAGGTTCCCGTCTGTGTCCACCACTCGAACCTGCTCCACTACCAACGGAAAACTCTGCTGTGTATTTTGGCCGGGGTTCACATTCACTGGTCCACAAAGAGCATCGGGTTCGTTATCTGAGCCTGAGCATTCTTCCTTATTTTCCAAGGTGAATTTGTTCAGTTCTGCTATTTTCTGTTACAAGCGAAACACAGAAAGCAAGGTTAATTCTGCAGCTAAGCCCTTGGAGCAACTCAAAGTTGTTTTCCACGATGTGAATCTGGCCGGCCTCTAGAGGAATATTTGCATGAAAACATTCTACAGCAGGTTAGAATCTTTCAGGAAGCATCAAAAGCTCTTTCAGCTATCACTGCTGTTTTCTCTGTGAGGTCCTGCTCCTCCTGAATAGTAAATTTTTAACACTTAACAGAGAAGTTGGGCTTTGTCAAAGCAGAGGATCTGAAGCACCAAGAGCCTGCGGTAGGATCACCACTAACACATTTGCTTTCAGTGCCTTTGAAATTGTCTCTGCTACTGCCTTGCATCCATTATGCTAACCTTCACTAACAGTTCATTACATTAATTGGACAAGAAAAAATATATTTATCTTGCAAAATATTCAACAGCACACTATCCTGTACTTGCCCTATACCAAGTCCTACCATTTTTATAAGAAAGCTTTAATTAAAGAAAGATGTTGAGGAGCATTTAGTGAGATTGTCCAACTGTTAATAAAGGATCTGAAAGGTAATTCTGTAATAATGAGAGGACCAAGCAAACTAATTGTCGGGCATGCTGAGGTGAGAAACCTCCCTAGAAGAATGTACTGGTAGCAGCTGAAGGCATGAGCTCTCTAACAAGGAGAACGTGTTGAAAGTCAAACCATGTATTTCCCACTGTAGTAGCACAACATTATTTACCCTGGTGAGTTCTGAGGTCTGCCTCTTACTCATAACACAAAGACCTTTTGAGATACAGCAAGAATGGAAGGAGAGGGAGGGGAAGAAAGAAAAAAACACCAATTTCTCTCCCTCAAAAAACCCCACAGCTTCTGTATTCTTCTACACATGAGCAATTAAACATTTTGCTGAGAAGCACACCAAGAACAGACAGGATTATTTTACTGAATTACTTACCAGAATTAGAGTGTCCATGACATCTTTGCATATCTGTAAGCTGGTATCACTTGTCACTTCCAGAAACAGATCACGGGTGGTTTTTCTAATCTGTAGGAGTATCATAGGTAAAGTGAGTAATGAATCAGAGCACACAGACTCACCCACAGCCACTTGGCAATATTTCAGTAGAAAAACAGAATTAAAGGCTTTCATTCAGTTCAACCACGAGCAAAGCACTGCCTTTCTTTACAAGTCAAAAACTGTATTCCCACTCTTGTCTTGGCCATTCAATAAAGCTTCCTCTGCAAAAGGAGGCTGGTGCCTTTGGAACAGCTTGCTAGAGGTTTACAAATTTACAAAGGTAAAAACATAACTGAGATTCATTGCAATCCAATAGTCTAGCGGAGAAGAGTAGGGCTTTGGAGATTTGTGTTTGGAACACAATCACAAGTTTCTCTCTCTCAGGAGAAAGAAAGGCTGTTTAATTCTGATTAACCTATTTCCACTAGCAGCTAGTACCTTTGTTTTCTCACTGTTGGTTATTGGTGGGAAAGAAATCACAACACCTTCAGCATCCACAAGACACGGGTAGTTATCTTTGCCATCCAGTAACTGGAGATACCTGCCAAAAAAAAGAAAGGGACAATCAAAAAAATAACTGAAACAGCAGCTGGACAAAGCGCCAGAAAACGGTGACAAAAATGAATTAGTGTGCTCCTGATCTACCACGTGACAAAAACAGAAGTCAGAGCACTAAAATTCAGCAAGGTGATGTCACGGTGATGCAGCTAACAACACGAAAGCCACTAGCTACAGGAACTGATGGGCTAGAACCACAAAATAACTCACATCTTCATATCCACACTGTTAAAGTAGTCAGACAGGCTTCTAGCGCCTTCAGAGATCGCAGTGCTTGAGCAGGAGTATCAGAGTCTATTGTCTGATTCTTCCAGACGGATTACTTATTTAATTCTCCCTCTTACTTACTATGGTGGTACACAGTTCTCCATTTTGTACTTGGCAAATTTCTCCAAGCTGCGTGACTGATGGATATGGGTGGTGATCTCTACATGAGCAGTAAACAGAACAGGGCAGCGTGATACTCTGCTTCACAGCTCGTCTGCTCTTACACGCAGATTGGCAGCACCTCTGATTCGCTTCAGTTACTGAACGTGCATGACAAACTTCATTTCTCTTTGGTACCCTTCGACTTGCTGTTTTAAGTACAAGAACTACTCTTAAAGGTGATAAATATGACAAGAATTTACTCTTGATATAACTAAAAATAATGGAAGTCACTCATCACCATCATTTTACTCTGGGTTACTCTGCAAGCAAAGATTCAGCTCAGTGTTTTTCATACCACCTCCTACAAGCTCACGCTGAGTTTGTTAGCCCAATCACCATTACAGAACGTACTTCGTAATACATTTGAGCACATTTCTTTCAGTGCTGTTTTTCCATGCAAGAATGAGTTGCCAAAATTGACATGAAGAAAAACCAACAAAATACTGACTTGTGCAACCCAGAAACGTTCTGACGCTTCTTCTGTTTCCTCTGCTCCTCTGCTTCTAGCTGCAGCTGACGGAGAAGATCCTTTGCCTTGATCTCCTTTCGACCCAGGGGCGTTATCTACACCATACAAGAAAAAAGAAACATTTATTTTTATGAGTGACTCAGACACCAGGATTATTAAAACTCCCTTGTAAGCAGGATGAAAATTAAAACCATGCATCATGTAGAATTTCTTACAATCTATTTTGTATTTCTACATGTTGCATGGAATTAAGCAACAGCAAATTCTCAGGTGTTCACACGCATCGCTGTTCTCCTTAATAGCTTTCCCAGCCTTTCTGGTGCAGTTCTATTGTATACTTTAATTTGTTAAGGCAGCTACAAAACGCAATTCCTTAATGCATGTTCCATTTTTTGGAGCAGGAGTTGCATTTCCAATCATATTCCAAAATATTTGCCGCCACTACTTCTTCATTTCTGCTACTTGATAAAAGAAAACCAAAGGCCAGGCATGACTCCCAGTTCTTTTCCAGTACTGAAGACTGTTCACCTAGATTTTGTTACCATTCAGACTGTCCAGCAACAAGTTCATACATTTCACACCATTACTCAAAGCCTCTACGGACTGTAGGTATTTTCTATTTGATCACGCAGCACATTAGACCAAACAGCCCAGACAATGGAGATAAATGGCTTCTCACCCTAACCTGGGACGTAGCGTTACTAAAATTAAAGTTTCAGTAAATCCTGTGCCTCTTTGCAACAGGATTTTCTCTTGTAGAGGGTATCAGCAACAACAACACAAAATATCTCCAAGTTTCGGCTAGATCTCATACACAGGGAGGGTTTTTGTCATTGAAGATGTGCCATTGTTCTTAACAACTTATTCAGGCTGGAAGTGCGCTTTCTAGTTAATGTGCACAGAGCAGCTACACACAAGTCTAGACAGCAGAATGCAATGGAAACTTTGGGTCAACCCCAAAGAGTCAGAACACCCTAACATGTCAGTCTTACAGTGACATTGCTTCTGGAGGCAGGATATTAAAGGGCCTAAATAAATAAGGATCACAAATTTGAAGTGACATTTTGGTGTTCTGGATTGCAAGTACAGCCTAAGAGTCTGACACGCAAATGTACTGCAATCTTTTCTTTTTTTTCTTTGAAAGCAGCAACATAAATAACCCAAGCCTGGGTAAACCAACAAAACCTGAATTACTTTAATTAGGTTACCTGGAAGGCTGCTGCTGATCGAGGCACACTCAATGAATGAGCACCTGCTCTGCTGTGTGACACTCCAGGCACATCCTAACACATACGAGACCTCCAGGGAACATTAAGATGGAAACACCACAACATAGGAGAAAGGATCAACAGTGAAACACCAGTACCTCAACCACCCTAAGCAAAGGCACACGTTAAGCTACATAAGAATGTTTGTAGAGGAAAAAAAGCCTATGCCTGCTTCCCTCACTGGTTTAAGTCCCCAGACAGATGGGCTTATAACTGGTCCTGGAGTACCACCAGGCAGCTGTGCAAGGCTTGCTCAAGCAAGGCTCATGACAGCAGGATGGCAAGAACATTAGCTTCAAAATTCCTGGAGTTATTTTTTTTCCTTGCATCTATGGGGTAAGAAGAAAGTTCCTTCCACTCTAAAAGTTCCAGAAAATGAAAGAAAAAAAAGAAAAAACAGGGAAAGATCCACAGTTGGCACTGCCCCCTACCTTCAGCTCACCAGGAGGCTGAACATCGTATGTCAGGGGACCTTTGACCAACTGCAAGTCATGGGTGGCAATTGTGGCTGCTGTTCGCTTTTCACAGATGTCTTCATGCAGTTTAGTCTAAAACATAAAGAACGCAATCAAAATACAAGAAAGATACCAATGCGATTTACCCCTCCTAGGCTCAGCGTTCTCCTCTATTGAATGTTTGCAGCATTTCCAACTGAGCAACCCTAATTTGCATGGCGTCTGGGCGCGTCCTCGTACAGCACTTAAAAGCTCTGCGGTCTGCATGTTTTGTTTACCCTTTTGGACTAAACCCAGCGTTCCTCCTCACCTGCAGAATAATTTCACCCAAATTACAACCGAAGCATAAGGAGAGTGAAGCAGAGCACACGAGATGTTTCCCACTTTGAGATGGGAAAGCAAGCGCCCAGCACTCACATCTGCCACCCGAAGGACCCATGAGCAGCCTGCCAGGCCACAAACTGTCTCCTTTCAGCACTGCTGACAACTTTCCCCTCATAAATGAGAATAAGGAGGCCCCTGGCAGCTACCTGCGCGGTCAGGAACCTCTTCAGAGCATTGCCCGGGTTCAGGTTTACTCCTTTCAGCACGCAGCACACGATGAAGGGCCGGACGTCTCTGACGCCCGGGCTGACTTTGACAACCAGCGGCGTGGGATTTTCAGAGACGTGCAGCACCTTCACCAGCAGCTTGCTGACGGCCTCCAGCTCGTCCTGCTCCCCTTCCCCGCCGTCCTTTTTCTGCTGCTTCTCCCTTTTCTTCTTCCTGGCCTCCTCCCTGGCGTTCTCGCCCTTGCCCTTGCCGCGGCCGCCGGCCCGCAGGTAGTCCAGGATGGCCTTGGTCTGGCAGCCGTTGACCATCTTCTCCAGCCGCTTGTCCCTCAGCTGGTTGCCCCTGAAGTTGGCCTCCTTCAGCCTGGGGCAGTCGGCCAGCGCGGCGGGCAGCTCCGTCAGCCGGTTGTTGGCCAGGTCCAGGCTCTGCAAGAGACGGCACGGTCAGCGGGGTGACGGGGGATACTGGGAGGTACTGGGGAGGACTGGAGACCGAGCTGGCCCGCACCTTGAGGGCCGGCAGAGCGGCGATGTCAGCGCCCAGCTCCTCCACCTCGTTGTCGGCGGCCTCGAGGCGGCTGAGGAGGGGGAAGGCGGCGGCGGGCGGCAGCAGGCGGCCGGGCAGGGCCCGCAGGCGGTTGCCCGAGAGCAGCAGCGCCTGGAGCTGAGGCGCGGCTCGGGCCAGCCCCGGGCCCAGCTCCCGCAGCCGGTTACCGCTCAGGTTGAGGCTGCGGAGCTGCGGGAAGGCTGCGGGTTGTTGCTGCTGCTCCCCGCAGCTCTCCGCGCCGCCCAGCTCGGCGGGCAGCTCCTCCAGGCCGTTCCCGGAGAGGTCGAGCAGGCGGAGGGCCGGCAGCTGCCCGCCCAGCCCCGGGCCCAGCCCGGCGGGGCCCAGCGCGTTGCAGCGCAGCACCAGCGTGTGCAGGGCGGGCAGGGCGGCCGCCAGCCCCGGGCCCAGCTCCCGCAGCGCCGCGCAGCCGCTCAGCTCCAGCGACTGCAGCAGCGGCAGCCCCAGCAGCGCCGCCGGCAGCCGCCCGCCGCCCGCCGCCACCCGCTCCGACACCGCCGCGCCCGGCAGAGACAGCTCCCGCCGCCGCTCCCGGGCAGCAGCCTCCAGCTCCGGCCACGCCGCCTCCATCCCGAGCCGTGCCGTGTTATTCCGTGCTGTTCCGAGCCGTACGGATCCGCCCCGAGCCGCGCCCGCCGCCACCGAGCCTGCGCCGGCAGCCGGGGGCGGGCGCCCCGCTCCCTCCTCGCCCGCAGCAGCGGGTCCCCACCGGCCCGCGGGCCCGGTAATTGGGTTTTAAAAGGAGGTTATGGGGCTGATGGAAGGGCCTTTCGCTCCCGAAGCGGCGGTGACAAAAGGAAAGGCCCTGGGTGAGTATCCAGGGACCGCGGGACCAGAGCACTGGTGCCGGAGTTCGGTGAATCCCCGCCGGCAGGGCCGCTGGCTGCGCTCCTGCAGTCTCTGCTGGCCGGAGGGATGCAAAGGGCCTGGCAGAAAACCGGGTACAGCATGGAAAAAGCCATCGGATGGGAAAAAAATGCAGGGTAGGGACCACGGCTTCATTCCTGCTTTAACAGCGATGCTCCATCACTCCAGACTCCAGCCTTCCACCCTTCTCTCGGTTCACCAGACCTGCTGACCTGTAACGTGCCTTACTCTGGCCCATTTTGTGGCACAAAAACAAACTTCACTTTGTTCTTTACTCCAGTGTTTATTTTGCCGCAGCAGAAAAGAGATGTTAAATAAAAGGCAGCAGCCTAGGTAAATTGTCCATTTAAATTGACATAAAGGGCACTACTTTGCCCAAAAGAGGTCCTTTCAAGTCCTAAAAACTCCTTCCATCTTCTCACTTGGAAGTATTTCTCATTCTTACAATTGAGTAGTTAATACTATCTTTAAACCTTGCTTTGGGGGTGCAAAGTAGTCTAAAGCTACCTCCCCATCTCCCCAAATGTTACATGCTATAAAATACTTAATAACAGATTCCTTTAAGACGTTGCTAGAAAGCCATTCCAGATTTGAAAAAAATTACACAGATCAGCCAGCAGAACACGACCCTCACTCCAATGAACAGCTTTTTAAACTTTGTTTAAATCAAGCCTTTATTTATTTGTAAAAACATGTTTAAAAAGGTTGGTACATAATATTACCAAATACAAGGACATCCTGCTACATACAGGACAACTGATTAAGTATTTTAATTACGTGTTGTTTGGCTGGGTTTAAAAGCCATGCTTGAGGAGCAACAGAGAGCTGCATTTACCAGTTTAAAGTATGCACTGTATTGGCCAGTGCAGAAAATATGGAGGACCTTTGCAAACATTTTTTTTAATTTTTATTATTATTCATTGAACTTGCACAAGGGAAAGCTCCCAGCTTTGCTTCCAAAAGGAATGAAAATGCTCTGGGCAACAGCCCATTGCACAGCCTAATCTCTGAGCAAAATCCATGATTACTTTGCTTGCATAAGGAATAAGGTTCTAAAGTAGGAACCTGTGTCACTAAAGTAAACATACATATATATATATATAAATATATATATTCATTGTGGTTGTGTATTTATTAATATATACTAGGAATAAAGAAAATTTATATAAAGACTTTGAAAATACAAGTGCACTGATCTACCTGTAAAAATCACGAGCTTGTAGATAGGCTGCACGCAAACTATAAAACCTGTGTGTTATAAAATCAGTGCTATATGTATACAAAGCAACACCACAAATTCACTCTGTGATAGCAAACAGCACCACCCCCAAATCTCCTACTTCTATCATCATGATCACTCATTCCTGTACCTGTGGTGGACATCAGCACGGGAGCAATTAATTCTGTCCTGGAAAGCAGTTGCCTAAACGCTACCAGCAGAAACGCTAGGATTGTTGCTTTAGGTCCAAGGTTTCACACATCGCGCCTCAATATAATCTGTTCTCTTTGAAGCTATTAAACAGTCACATGCTGATCTAACAGATCTAATTAGAGAAACTCCGTATTAGAGCTGCCTTTAGAAGGGAGCTGAGAGGACATACATTAAAGCAGAAAAAAGGACTAAACTTACTAATTCAAGCTTTTCAGGCCTTTTTTTTTTTATGAGGTCGACTCCTAGGTAAATATCTCAGTATTAACTGTATGAGATTTTAAAGCATGACTTTAATTTTACAGTAGCTCCATAGGTACACACACTTCTTATATACCAAATGGGATTCTTGCAGTTTAGCTTAATCCTCTTGTCAAGCGGACTAATAAGGCACTTCGAGCACAGCGAGGCAGCACGGAAGAGCTGTTTCATGTTCCTGCCTGCGTAACGGCATGTCATGCAGCAATACTCAGCCAGCCCTTCAGCTTTTGTATTTGGTGCTAATTCTTAGTGTCCAGTAGCACTTTGGGTACCGTGCTACTAGCTTTGAGATTCTAAACCTGAAATATATGTGAAGGCCAGGCTTCAGCAGCGAAACCACATCTCAGCCATGCATGGGTGGTGTTACTCCCGGAGCCTGGGCTGACCCAAGGAGAGATCCATTCACTGGGCGTTATTAACATGCTTGAACTCAAAAAATTACAGACTCTGGTATTCCTAAGGAGAGTGAGGTTATCTTTCAAAGTAGTGCATGCATTTTTCATTTCACCTTATGCCAGATACACAGCAATACCCTCATTCATCTGCTACTGTAAGGTAGTAACTCCATCCCACCAAGGGACCTGGACAACTGCCTCAAGTCTATTTTGCTCACTATATATTCATTTTTCATTGGTATTTCCTCAAGTTTAATTATGATGAAATCTCTGTAAGTGTACAGATGTAGTGCAAAAATACATACATGAGACCTATCTCCTCGTCCAGCCAGTACACACAGTGTAAACTCACAACCCTTTTGTGTACTGCCTGCATCTGATGGGAAGACAGACAAAAATTTCAGCTAGTTCTTTCAGCACGTTATAAAGTTAATTTTGGCAGAAAACTATTAGCAATATATGCTGCAATTTTTACATTGACGTGACCAAGTGGTAAAGCCAACTAATATAAGTATTATTTCCCAAACTTCCGGAATGTACAATGTCAAACAAGCATTAGACTTAGCTCAAAAGAAAATTTCTTTTCAGCTCTGTCCTGAAAGCCTAGTACAGTTCCTGCTTGGTAACTTTCTTGCTGTTCTCCAAGAAAAAAAAATCAAACCAGAAATGACTGGCTTTTGGATCTTAATGAAATTCCCCACTGGATCTCAAAACCAGACTGTCAGAACCACAGCCTGAGCCTAAGCCACTAGCTAGGGCACAGCTCTGCTGCTGATCGTGCTCCATGTTAACTCTAGCCTATTTAGATTTTTTTTATTATTATTTTTTAATGCGAGGAACCAACGCAGAGCCTTCCTTGTGCCAGTCAGGGAATGAGGCAGGATAGGTCTGTCCCGGAAAACGTGCCTATTTCTAACAGGCACATTTCTAGGACAAAACCACAGTGCTGCACAGACAGTGACAAAAGAAGTTATGGATTGCAGTTCTCAGATGAGGCAAGTACTGCTCAAGGCTGAAAAATAACTTTAGGTAGTCAAATGAAAAAGATGATACGTTGCCCACAATTTTAAACAACTGTTAATAACTACATGCCCAGTTATTATGACAAAGAATACCGTACTTGTCCTGTCATCGCTTTGAGTATGTTTTGCCAGTGCCTTTATTTGGGCCCCCTCTTGGGGTTGGGATCTTGCTTCCCATAGAAGGAGGTCGAGCTTTTGCTCCTGAAGGATCTGGTTTCCTTAAATAGTGGCCACCTATTTTGCCTGTGAAGAGATCATACAGATCATTATTTGCAAGCACATCTGGTCTGAGCCTTGAATTTTATTTAGCATTTTGATTCTCAAGAAACATTAAGTCTGAACGACTAATATCAGTAACTAAAAGTTGGCAGGCATCCAGTCCAAGAATCCTTCACCTCTCAGTGTATCAAGGTGCATCTTGTACCAAAAGTGGTAGGACTAAATGGTCAAAGTTCCTATCTCTAGGAAATTGCCCTCAAGTTTTAGCTTTATTGAGGCAGGATTTAAGTTCCTTCTGACATCTTCAAATTCTAAACAGCAGCAAACTAACTAGCCTTCTCATTAGCGAGTAGCAACAGCAAGGCTGAAGACAGAGAGACATGACTGTAGGTGGCAAACTGCACTCACTTACGACAGCTGAGAGACAATTTAACAGTTCTTTCCAGGAATTTGGGAGCAGTTGTGAAATGAAGATAGGAGCAAAGCAAAATTCAGACAGAGAAGGTTAACTCTAGCGATGGCCTGAACATGCAATGGATTAACCAATCCTGAAAATAGCCTGAAGGGAGGAAAGTTTTGGATGGTACCTGCCAAAACAGTTCTGGTGCTGCAAGCAGTGAAAATAGCTTTTTTACTTATTTTCTGTGTTCATGCAATAAGAGGATTTTGCGTGTACTAAATAAACAAAGTCAACTTAAAAAAAAAAATCTGATGAGCATCAATTTTGCTTTGCTGGTGAAGAAACTGCACAGTCATAAATTCTGCCCAGTTCCAGGCTGCAAGCTGAAAAGGAAAAAACAGTATACAGCAGCACTAACTATTCAATTCATCTTGTGGTTAGGATTAGATTAGCATTCTCTGATGGGTCATTAAAAGACAAAACAGGCTCTCAATTCACCATGTCAGTGTTCAGGGGCTTTCTGGAATGGTAACTGGTTAGCATCATTGCTGATTGTTCTATCCACAGCCATACTATTAAGTAGAAAGAAGACTGAAATTATAAAATTAACAGAAATGCCAGCTTCCTCCATCAACTGACCTTTAAATTATTGTTATTGAAATTATTGTTACTGAATGATTTTGAGAACTTGCTTCCGAAGTGTACTGTAGTCTATAACAGCCTAAGAAATATCACTGAGGTTACACAAACACAAAAAGCATGTTAAAAAAAGGCAGGTTGCTTTCAAGGGTGAAATACTTTTCTTAAGCAGTGGCAACATAGTAAGAAAGCATAATCGTTATCCCCCTTCCTCCCAAAAAAATCTTACCAGGCTGTACCAGAAGAGTTTTATTTATTGTGGGTAATCTCCGTGGATTCATTTTACAGCCATCTTTGCCCATTAGGTGAGACTTCCATGCCTAAATCAATTAAAAAGAAGTGATATTACAAACCCAGCAAAACTATCCAGTCTTTTATCTAGTCGCATAGTATGCACATAC